TAAGATTCGGTGTAATGAGGTCGAAAAGTTGTCCCTTTGGTGTTGTCCGGACTATAAAAGCAATATTGCCCCAGCTGTAAACATTTTAAAATCTGTAGAAACCACCCACTTGGATTTTTTATATGTATTTATAAAGGAATTTTTTAGAATACAGCTTGCAGGTGTTTACAAAAATGTTGATCTGTTAAGACAAATTTATACAAGTCACTGTGCAAAAATTGGAGAACCTCTGTTCGATAGTTGAGGATACAATATTTGAAAATAAGTCGCGCCACATTTACATTTTACGCTCCGCTCCCGTTGATACAATTTCTAAGTCACATTTTATCTTATTGTTATTGCCTCAATGGGGGTCTTGGTCTAAAGTGCATTGAACTATACCTGAACTTTACGACAGTACTCTTTGGATCGGGATGAAAACGAAGCCTACTTCGTGACATTGTGCTGCATTAAAAAAGGGTGGGAACACGTGTATGCCTGTGTAATGAGGTGTAAGTGTGGTTGAGAGAGAGAGAGAGAGAGAGAGAGAGAGAGAGAGAGAGAGAGAGAGAGAGGGAGAGAGAGAGGGAGAGAGAGAGGGAGAGAGAGAGGGAGAGAGAGAGAGAGAGAGAGAGAGAGAGAGAGAGAGAGGGAGAGAGAGAGAAAGAGAGAGAGAGAGAGAGAGAGATGTTCGCAGTATTGTGGAACAATAGAGGGGACGGGAGAGTCGGTTGCATTGGCCCGTTCCCTCACGAAATGATCGTTGCAGCGTGGTGCGATCGAGTTGAGTCATCACGCTTTATCATCTATTCTTTAAGCGCAACGTGTTACACATTTCTCTCGCATTCACTGAAATTCATAATTGCTTACCTCGTTATTTCAGTATACAATTCAAACCAGTACATTAAAACATAAAAAATTATAAAAATAACATAACAAAACATCTGTCTCGTGGATCCCCGAGTTGTTATTCAAGTTTTTGTAAACAGACCCCAGCAGAGCGTGTTCATTCTTTTCCACTTAATTAAGTTTACTGTTTTGAGTTCTATGATCAGATCACGTAGGCACCAAAGTCAGTTGTATTATTATATGGATAATCTATTTTACATCTAATTCCAGTAGCAATGATAACATTGCAAAACGCAAGCTGTCACATTCAGAAGGCCTAAATATTTTCAGTCACACTCAGTGAACAGGGCTGTGCTGGGGGTATCGAGACCAGAGCAGTTAAAGTACTTTTAAAAAGGTACTTAAGTACGAATGTAAGTACAATCTAAAATATGTACTTAAGTACAGTAAAAGTACTTTCCTGTAAAATGTACTTGAGTACAAGTACTTTTTAAAAAAGTACTTATGAGTACATTTTGAGTACTTTCTGCTAATATGCTAAAACACTTCAAAATGCAAAACATCATATTGAATAACATATCTAGTATATTTGACAAATTCGGCCATTTATTACTAACAATGTAAACAGTATACAAAGCATTTGAATATACGCACTGAACGTAGGTGGAAATTGTCCGTGAAATTGAAAAAAAACCCCAGCAAACAAACAGACGCAACTAGTGAGTAAGTGATATTATGAATAGAATTTGTTTGAGCAAGACAATATGATCTAATGTAAGTCAGTCCTAGAGGTCGGAAAGTAGGAAAAGTATCAAAATTGGAAAATATAGAGACAAAATTGACCTAAGAAAATAAAAAATTGATGAAAATGGCCAGCAAAAAAAAAAGTGCTTTGAATTCTTTAACAAATCCTCAAGGAATCAAGGTAGTCTTAAGCACAAACCACAAAAAAAAGGAAAAAAGAAATTTAGGTAGCCTAAAAAATTGTTAGATTGATATACATTGAGAACTCAGTTTCAGTTTCAACTGATTATAATAGTGGTAAGACAGAGTTTGGTCACACTGTGTAGTCCACGGCGCCCACGGCAAACCAAAATAGGCCTACATGTAATTTCCTAGAGTCTAGTAAGTGTAGTGTAACCAAAAATTCTCTACTACAGTAGTATCCGCCTAAGATCCCAGTGCTCGGGAGCAAGGGAAATATGGGATCTTAGCCCGACGAAGCTAAGGAAGAATCTACAGTGACCCAAGAACTGACGTGACCCCTGGGTAGGTTTATGACATATGGCGAGCAAAGAGTGGTCATCCTTGGTGACCAATCACAGTAGCATGGTGGCATGAGGCAAGCCATAATATTATACCGTACACTCATTAGCATATCGTCTCGAGATCTTTATCAACGTTTATCCAGTTGCCCCTCCCCTTTACCTGTCCAAAAATTGTAGCCTTCCATTTCTTGATTGAGTCCCCCCGCCTTTGTCGTTACGTACCATTACGCTGTGACCACACCAATTAAAATTCCATCTGTCTCGCAATTTCGGGAATAGAGAAAAACTGCCTTCAACTTCAATGGTCAGGGAAGAGTTCACAGTTCGATGTGATCCTGCCTGGGGCGAACTTGTAGGCCCAACCCACCCAGCGAGGGATGAAAGTTCAGGTGGCGAGCTCAGATGCGAGTGCGATGTTTGGGGAAAAGAAACGCCCATCGGTCTGTTCACACCTCGGTGTGATCCCGTCTGGGGATCATTGTACTTGTACCGTTTCATGGAGTTTTACAGCACATGTGATCACTTTCACAAGAGTGGCTGATCTTTGACGCGACGGGCAGTTCTTTGATCTCAACTTTTAACTCTTGGTTGATCGGCTGTGCCCGCCCGGGTGTTTGTTCCGTAAATTATGATCGGAAATGTCGGCGCTTATTCTTTCATTAAGCTTCAAAAGTACTCAAAATGTACTTGAAAAGTACTCAAAAGTACTTTTATCAAAAGTATCGGAGTACAGTAAAAGTACTGATTCTCAAAATGTACGGGAGTACAGTAAAAGTACCGAAAATTGTAACGTAAGTACAAGACTTGTACTCCGTTACAACCAGCTCTGATCGAGACAGCTGCAGAGAGGTGCTTGAGAGTTGACCAAAAAATCGGCATCTTCTGATCTGTAAATGTAAAGCTTCTTCTCCTGTCATTGAGGTGACCTAGCATGGCCACACAGTGATTGTTTTAACCGCCCATAACCCGAATAAATGAAACCATTGTCTCACAATTCAATTACTGTGAGTTTGCTTGCTGTCGCAATTGACACTTTCTGCTATAAATGGACACTAAAACTTAGAGTAAAACAGTAAACTTTATTATAACCGAGTAGATTTCAATGATCAGTCATACAAAAGGCAATGATCTGAATCTGAATACACAGAGAAATTTTTAAAAAATAGTTAAGGCACTACTTTTGCTTATGATTGCTAACAGAAAATCAGTCTGGTCTCATAGAAATCACACATATTCATCCCCCCAAAAAAAACTTTGTCTAACGTATCGTATATCGATTACTCATGAAAAAAAATTCCACTGAAAAGGGTAATTTTTTTACTACATCAAAGCAGTGAACAAAAGTTTCATTACAACTTTGTATCAAGTACTGTGGAGTGAACAGCACAAGGTGCTTCAACATGTTACAAACAAAAAAATGTAAAGCAATTCTAGAAAAACTACGGAAACTGAGCAATTCCAGTAGGCCTACCAATTTCCAAAGAAATTGTAATGATTAAATTTTCTTTAACTAAAAATTTCACTAGCTCCATCCGACACACCACAATTGGTAATTGATAGCTTCCCACAATTTCAACAAATCTACAGATATGATAAGATAAAACACCTTAAGTTGCTGAGAACTCCCCAATTTACCATGCACTCAAAAAAGGCAGATATTGTCCTTGATAAATGCAATCACATCTTTGTTCACAGGTCCTCCAATGTTTAATGTAACAACAATTTAAATCGATAAGTTTTGCACATGAATCACAGAATCAACACGTCTCCTCTTTCACGTAATAATATTTTGATAGTCCTCATGTAATCACAAAAATTATACTTGTTTTAGTAAGGTTCTACAGTGCACGCAAATGCATACGCTCATATGATGAGTGCCAAGGGGTGGATGTCAACAGGGAAGTCCAAATGGGGAATCAGGCTTACTCTGCTCACCTCTCTTGCCTCAATAGCACAAAGTCTGCTTTGACTATCAAGGCACCCTGTAAATAGCAGTTCATTAGAGAGTGACAAATATACAAAAGAAGAAGAGGAAATAATGACGATAGGATAAGGAAAGAAAAAGCAGCAGTTTCCCCTAAGATGTTCCGCCACAGTGTTTATCTTTTTTTTGATAAGTGTTTTATGGCGCTCGCAATTACATAAGGTCATATGAGCACACCAAACATTTTCAGTTGGCAGGAAATTTTGAATTTTGCCCGGGTGGCGACCGAAGCCTAGCCTTATCAATTTTAGACCACCGAGGGATCTTTAACGTGCACAACTTGCACACGGGCCCTCCGAGATTTTTTCGCCCTTGTCCGAGAAAGCTAGGTGTAGATCATTCCTACAAGAAGATCAGGTGTGTGGCTGAAAGACAGCAGTAAGTAGGAGCCAAGGAGAAGCAGTAGAAAGGCTGCAGAAAGAGTCAGGAGCACAGAGGGGGGGGGGGGGGGCAAAGGAGGTGATGGGGTGGGGGCAGAAAGTCGAGACGAAAGCAAACGACAGAACATTGCAGGAGAGAAGGAAAGGAGTGAAAGGAGACAATTTAAGAGAAGAAAATTTTTCGGTTGCTACCCGGATTCGAACCCGGGACCTTTGAATGAGAGGTGAACACCTTAACCTCTAGGCCACGAGAGCCCCCTACGGCACAGTATGAGCATGACATTGATAAACCAGCCCATTGACAGTTCTACTGTGCTTAAGAACATGTTAATATCCCCCCTTTGGGAAAGACCTATAGACACTTCAGTCAAAAGCCCTGCCCTGGGGGGGGGTGGGGGGGGGGGGGGGGGCTAAAAATTATACACATCCGTTACAAACCCATTAGGGGCATTCCTACCCTGATCAGTGACCTACATTGACAAAAATCAACAGCATGTAAGCATGGACTAAATGGAAATCAAGAGAGAAAAATCAAACCAGTGAAAACAGCAAATATATAATTATGCAACTGACACAATATGACTTAAGTAACTTTGGTTCCATATTTATACTGATTAAAATATGTGAATACAAATCATAACATGCCCAGATGGTCCAAAATAATCAATCTGCAGTATAATATCACATTTATTAACTGAAACAAGTTGTGTGATCCATCAATGACAGTGTCCTTCCAATCCTCACAACAGGTCACAAACAACAGGGCAAAATGAGGAGGACCTCACATACAGGGATTGCGAAGTAAATTACTGCTTTGTCAGTAAAAATACTTGTAGATGGATGTCTTTCCCAGCCAGTAGCCTCTCACATCTGTCCAGGTACTGCACTGTAAACTCCGGCTCTGCAGGAAGGACAAGGTGGCAGGGGTTTAAATTATGCAGAACTAGCATGAGCCACCAACCACAAAAATAAATCTTAAGATACTATCATGAGTAAGGAACGGATGCCACTTGAGTTCATCCAGCAACCCCTGGGCTTGTTGATCATCATCACCACCATAAAAATAAGAATAATAAATATTATAATTATATAACAAATGACTGTAATATGGCTCGTAGTAAAAATAAAAATAAGTTCTAAAACCCCCAGTCCCAGGTGGCTGTAAGCGTTTCACAATAAGAGTAAAATACAAAATTGGACAGCTTACACCATGATATGTGTTATGCATACTGACCCATCCATGTAATGAGCAATAATCCTTTCAAATACATTTGAACCTGTAATTTGACTAGAAAAAATATACCCAAAACGACAAGCACTGTGACAGCTGATCACACTTGTTGACTGAAGAATCAAACTAGTTGGTAAAATAGAATTTGAATAAATTTGTCTTTAGACCAAATTTAAATGTGGTCAACGTGGAAGCCCCTCTTTAATGCAATGGGTGTGTGTGTGTGTGTGTGTGTGAGTGTGTGTGTGTGTGTGTGAGTGTGAGTGTGTGTGTGTGTGTGTGTGTGTGTGTGGAAGAATTCTACACTGAGGACAAAGCCCTAGCTCCAACTTAAAAAAAATAATTTTCAAGGCAGTCTTCAACTGACTTTTGTTAATGGACTGTAAATTTCCAGATGAAGTATACTCCTGAGGTAAATTAAAAAGACATTGTGGTGCAAGATTATTTGAACACTAATAAGACATTACTGCAACTTTGAAATCAATATATGGACTTTATCTTGCAGCTTGGTTCTTTAGTCTTTGCATTAAAAAAATTGTTACTTCTATTTTATGACGAGCAAGTTTCCATAAATGAGATAACACAAATGATGACATCACCATCTTAAAATATGTTTTAAGTCACGACCTTTGACCCAATGAAGTGAGTGGAAGTGCCTATAAGTCACAAAGTTACCCCCTTTTAAACTAGAGTCCGTACGAGGTCACGTGACACGAAAACATTTGAGTTTGTAGGCGGCCATTTTTAAGTGCGGCTAAAAAGTTTGTTTACATGTGAGTAGGCGTGTCTCTGCTCTTACGTGTTTTATTTGATTCTACCGTTGTGTTTTAATCTAAAGTGATTCTCTTAAAAGTGCAAGCAAGTGAAACCTCTAGTCCCTTTCTGGATTAACGTCTTATTGTGTCCAATCGAGTATATGTTATATACACAGCCGCTTGGAGCTGTGATTAGAAAGCACAGTTGAGTATGAATTATCACATACATGTAGATCCACGCAGATGATACACAGTTGTGCAGATCTGCTCCACCATCAGATGTTAAAACCTTGCCTACCACCAAGGGTGTGCATTGATGATGCCAAGAACGGGATGATTGATAATAAGCTCCAGCTTAATGAAAATAATACTGACATTCTTTTATGTAATCCAAAGAAATGCCATGTCCCCATAGACGTCTAGACGTAGATCTAGAAGTAGACCTAGATCATGTTTGTACGATGTGTAAGCGTTTGCGTGTGATAAGCTAGTAGGTGTGTGTGTGTGTGTGTGTGTGTGTATGTGTGTGTGTGAGTGCGCGCGCGTGTGTGTGTGCGTGTGTGAGTGCGTGTGAGTGTGCATTTGTGACTAAAGCACCTAGAGCTGTGTTTGTGGGCGCTATAGAAATGATCTACATTGTTATTATTATTATTATTATTATAATAATAATAATTATTATTATTATTATTATATTATTATTATAACTACGCAGTCTTAGAGACTTTCTTTACAATAAAACGAGACCAGAAAGGATGGTGCAACACTGCTACGTTTATCAATGTACTAACAGAGCCTCCAAATGAACCCCTCTTTCATTTCACTGGTCAGAATAAGATTTATAAGAATTTTGACAGATTAGATTCAGATCTATCTATGTTTTGAAGAAAATATTCGAAAAGATAAAGAACCTGGTCTGATCAAAGCTTACCTTTCAGTTAAAATTGATATCAGATCTAACCACTGCAATTTTGCCTTGTCTTACTTAAACATCACAAAATCCAAGCTAGATCTACTAATTTGAGGTATTAATTTCACTCAATTGACAATGACTCACTGACGTAAGATATTAAACATAGTTACTAATAGTAGTATAACAGTATCATCAATCATAACTATTTTTATGGGATGATGATTATAGTGATGGGTGGGAGCAGCCAAAGATAGGCTCATGTCTAAAATGTTTGATGTAATGAATAGGATATAATAAATACCTAAGCTTATTAGTGACTAAGGAAACCATAGTCAGAGTGCGTTTGGTGCTGAGCTTGCTATATATATATGCACAGCATTTAAATTTAATATGTGTTTGGCACATTTTTTATTGCACGAATGAATTTAAATAACTCATCACTGCTTCTGTCAGGCAGTTCAGTGATGTCTGTTTTCTTTTATTACATCATCTATTTTTAGCGCATAAATATGTCTTATGGACACAAATAGTCACTCCGAGTTTCTTTTTTTAAACATAAAGAGCCATCAGTAAGGTTCTGAGCCATGTGAAGTTAAGGTTGACTAACAGCTAGATCTTTTTCACAATGGGTAGGAAATTTCTTTATCAAACAGTGTACTTTTCAATGTTTTGTTTTATTGAATGTCGTCCAAAAAACCTTAGTGAAGGTTTTTGTTTCAGTTATCACTACACTGTGTAGAAAAACAATTGACCAGGCTACAAAACAACATTAAGTTCACTTTTTTTAATCTTTAGTGAGTCCAGAGTTGTCACAGTTGTTTTACTCAAGTCCAAAATTAGACTTACTTAAAACAGCAATAGAAGGAGCTTTAGTTTCAGTGCTGTATATGGTGTACTTTAGTTCTTAAAATCAATATAATCCAAAGTTTAATACCACATAAAAAACACTACTTATTTATTATACTTTTTAAAAAGTGAACATAAGAATGAAAATACAGTTTCCTGTTCAAATGTCACAGGGGAAAGTGTAACTCGATTTTTAAAATACCAGTACACGTATTTATCATTTGTTTGGCTGAATTTGCTTTATCAAGAGCTTCATTGCCTTCCTACACCTAATGGCTGAAAAGCTCTGGAATTTTTTTCCAGTGGCTCGTCCTGATTTAATTTAATGCCAAACTCATATATTTGAGGGGGGGGGGGGGGGTTGGTATTGGGATTCGGGAGGAGAGAGAGGGTGGGGTGGTTATGGGAGGTTTCCATGACACCCACATCTTTTCATACTTCTTTTAAAAAGTTCTATAGGCCCTATACACTTTGATTCAGTCAATAAAAAATAAACCACCTCGTTGATAAAGTGCTGATGAAGAAATAAAGGTGGTTTTTTAAATCTTTTTATTAAAGCCTATATCTCTATATTTATCTATTTAATAATACATTTATTTGTAGATCTAGTTGTAGAAAGAACGCTGTATTATTGCTATTTAGTAATTTAGATATAGTATGCCATGGCGCCCATTAAAAAAAAAAAATCAACAAAAACCGAGCCTTGCCTATCCCGTATGAGAGAGAGAAAACATGCCTAGCCCATTGCTTTAGCATGAACTCCTTCACACAACTTGCCACAAAAAACATGGCGGACGCTGCGGTCGAATGTGGCCATCGCGCAGCAAGGCGAGAGAGGGGCGTACTGTATCTAGTGCCTATAGTATACATCTATGCTATAAGTTGTCTTCAACTACAAAGTAGATGTTTCCTCAAGTTGGGGGAGGGCGGTTGTTGCTAGATGTCCTGGAGTTTGAGGGGTAAAAAGAGTGGGAGATGGTCAATCAAATAGGTTTCTGACAAATAACCACCTTGTGCAGAGTTACATTCCAAAACGAGTCATGTCATGCATTTAAACCTGCATCAATACAGTCACTGATTTTAGTTGTTGTTTTGTAAACCAACAAGCTCTTCAAAAACAACTGACATCATAGAAAGTCTTTATTAAAAATGTTCCCATCAAGGTCCAGACAACGCATGAGTCCTCTGGTTAAGAAAATTTCTGCAATTCTTTTCTCCCTCTAAAAATGTTGTGTGTCACTCGATATTTTCATGCTTGCAAGCACTCGATATTTTCATGCTTGCAAGCACTCGATGCCAAGCTTGATACTTCTCGAGCCTATGAATCCTCATGTTTTGAGTCATCCTACCATCCCCACCCCAAATCCCTTTACTGTACGTACTACAACAGAAAGGCATGTGAAATATTGACATAACTTCCCACAATGAAAGCACCATGCTTTCTTCTTTTAACAAGACATAACGGAGACACTTCTTGGAACAACGCTATCAAGAATTGATGGTAAATACTACTAAAAAATTGCTGCTCCGAGAACTGACAATACTACTCAGGTGGGTCGAGTAAAGCACACCTCGTGAGTAACTCGAGCAAGCTCAATCTAACTCTACTCTCTACCACAGAGAGAATCAGAGAATCTCCGCTGGGGAGAAAAACTAGAAATAAAACAGTGTTTAATTCAGTAAGTGATCTCATATCTTCAGTTCTGACAAATGCTATGTATGTTGGGGGAATTTCATTTCTATTGCCTCATAGGTTCTGATGGATTTGTTTCACTCGAAGAATGAATTACCGTATAGCTGTTTCAACTCAGCTTCATACATCGGGTGTGGTGGTGGCGGACGAGTTGAAAGATCCCCTAGATCTGAAACATAATTATGAAAAGAAAACAATAATATGTATAAATATATATATCAATATTTTAAAATGGCAATGTCTGGGGGTTATGCACATTTTTTAAGCCCAATTCGTAATAAAATCATGTAACAAAAAATAACTGTTCTGCATGGAGTTTTCATATTACTTCTTCTATGTGTTATAGAACATTTTCTGAGCAACTCAGAAACCACATACAAGCAGTTAATTCTAATTTATGTATGTTGAGCTTGGTGAGGAAGCATAAAATTGAGTCCCAGTAGGAGTGCATGATGCATTCTGCAAATAGTGCGACTGTATCCTGTTGCAAAAGTTCAGTCTGAAGTCCACACTTGAGAAACTACCGTCCTTTTCTCACCTTGTGTATTGTTATGGGCCTACCTGCTACTAATAGATTAACTGCTACTATTCCAACATCTAAAACTACTAGATTTGTATATCACTTGGACTATACTTGGAAGAAGAAGATTCCTACTTTCACTTTCACCGAACACCAACTCTAGCAGATTTGTGAAAGTTTGTCACTTTGGCCACCTAAAACTTCACAACCACTTAACTTTCGAATTTGACAAAATTAATGGTGGTGCAGAATCATTTAAAGGGTGCACAGTTTTATTGAGGATCATGAAGTCACTGTAGTTTAGAGCACCATCTTATCTTATCTTATCATTTCAGTTTTTCATTAGTTACGTTTTGATCTAATCTTGGGAAAGTCTGTCTTCTAAGACGCCATTGTAAACAAGTGAGGTTTCTGTTCACTTGCCATGCGCACAGATTCCACACCTTTGAAATTCTGGAGTGTACAACCACGGAAGCGGAATAGAAAATCAATTTATAACATCTATTATATATTTGGCAATTTGGAAACACATGTCACTTTTCCCATAAAACTACGACAGCTAGAGAGTTGAAAGTTAGCAAGAACCTGCAAAAAGATAAATAGGTCCCCATGAAGGAGCCTGATTTTTTATTTATTCATTTCCTGAATTAAGAAAAATATGTTTGACAAAAAGGTCCCGTCCTTCTTTGGCTTTTGTGATTATTCCACTGAGAAACGAAACAAATCTGCAACGCTGTCCCTTCACAGCAGAAGTGCCAGAAGCGATATCTCGCGAGGCACATTTTGTATTGAGAGTATAGATCAAGACTTTCTAATTTTTTTCATCTCTCAAGATTTATTGCTCTGTTCCAGTAGAGTGTAAATATAGTAGGCGAATGACTTTCAGTTGATGTTAATGCACCAATCCTTCCTCTCATCGAAAGGGGGTCCAGCTCGTAACTGTTCATTGCCTGAACTACAGCCCTATCCATAGACCTAGGAGCTTCTAGTAAGTTTTGTGGGACATTGTGGGAGCTTTAGCCTTATAGTTCACTATCAGACCCTTTAAACACTTCAAACATGTTTCATTTATGTCTTTGAGCAGATATCTCCACTCTAAAAATGACAGCGGCTTTGTGTCGGTTCCCAGAGCTTCTACTGCAATGCAGGGGTGTCCGACTTAGTTTGTTGCAGTTAACTTCACAAAATTTTTTAATGGAATGAAACAAGTGGCAACTGTTAGTCGGTGCTTCCTGTAACTTGCAACCAAAAAACAACAGAGATATCAACCCACTAAAGCGCCTCGCATAAATACACGGGATTTGGCCACCGGACTGGCAGCACGTCCCATTAATGCACGGGAATTGGCTCAAGTGAGTTAAAACAACTTTTAGCATACTACATTCAAATCTAAGGCTGATCATTACATGTAAAACACAGAACTCCAATTGATGATGGGAGTACTGGCAAAGAAAGGAGCTAGTCTCCCTCAGCCTGAAATTCCTACGAATTACACCACCTGCTGCCAAATGAACAAGTCAAACCTCAAGGAAGAGTGGATGAATGATTGGGCCACAGGTACGACAGGAAGGAGGATGTATGGCCACATGAATAAACCACTGGTCAAAGATCCAATCAATGAGTTGAGGAGGGGAGATCAATCCATAATCTTCCAACTTAGAACACAACATGTACCTCTCAACCAACATCTCAACCGAATTGGAATAAAGCAGTCTGCTGCCTGCCCATTATGTGACTACCCCTCAGAGACAGTGGAACATCATCTGTTTTTCTGTAGAAAACTAACTGATTTAAGGGGATGTTTTCTTCCCAAGCTACCCCACACATCTAATTGCCTCTACTCCTCAAGCCAACAATTAGAACAAACATGCAACTATTACCGAATGGCATCATGCAGAAGAGTTAACGTTCAGATGCTACTGGATCGCTAACAACAACAACAACATGATGGGAGTACTTGCTTTGGTAGGTAGCTGAGGTAAAGAAGAGTGAAAGAAAGAACACAGAGACAGTAAATTAAAATAGAATTTATGACACGTATAATTCTGAGACTAGATGTTCACCAAACCTCCTTTTTACTCTTACTGTTACTTCAGTATAATAAAGTATTCAGACAAGGGTGTTACTTTTTGCAAGTCACGAGTCCTTTTTTATAAAATTCGGGCAGGCAAATAGTTATCCTTTTCAATTTCATTATTTTTAGTAATAAATCAAGCTTCTGAATACTGTTTATGCATTTATTTTGTTTGTCTTAATAGTTAATGATCAAAATAAGTGCTTATAAAACAGATAAAAACATCAAGTGAATAAATAATTGGTGAAAAAGACTAAAATGAAATAAGGATTCACAAGCATTGCTCTTCAACCATCAATGCTCCCACCAAGGCCAAACTCACCTTTGGTGCCCTCGTGGCCTAAGAGGTTAAGGTATTGGCCTCTCATTCAAAGGTCCCGGGTTCGAATCCGGGTCGTGACGGAAACATGTTCTTCTCTAAAATTTTCTCCTTTCACCTCCTTTCCTGCTCTCTAGCAATGTTCTGTCGTCTGCTTTCATCTCCACTTTCTGCCCCCACCCCCTCACCTCCTTTGCCCCCTTCTCTGGGCTCCTGACTCTTTCTGCAGCCTTTCTACTCCTACTCCTTGGCTCCTTCTTACTGCTGTTTTTCAGCCACAACCCTGATCTTTTGGTAGGAAAGATCTACACCTAGCCTTCTCGGACAAGGGCGAAAAATCTCGGAGGTCTCGTGTGCAAGTTGAGCATGCTAAAGATCCCTTGGTGGTCTAAAATCGATAAGGAGTAAGTTTCAGCCCTCACACGCGCAAAATTCAAAATTTCCCACCAACTGAAAATGTTTAATGTGTCCCGCGCGCTCATATGACCTTATGCAGTTGCGAGCGCCGTAAAACATTTACCAAAAAAAAAACCCACACAAAAAAAACTCACCTTCCATAATGCTCACATCATAGTCCATAACTTCTAACAGGCAGCGCCCTCCTGGTTTCAACAGGCTTTTGATAATAGAAACATATCTGAAAACAAGAAAAACAAAATGCAAAACACTGATTAACACAGCAAAGCATAGAGCAGTTAAGATATTTTCAACATAGGTGTTAAAAAAACTTATTCGGACCTTTTAAGCCCTTCTTTCAGTTTCAGTCCAAGACAAGGCTTACATTAGTCAATGTATGAACTACATATATTATGTATATCAACCCGCAGCACCTGCTAATGACCTATCACCAGGCCCTTTTGTCCACTGATCATTAGTAAAGGTAGTAAATAGAGCAGACCAGGTCACAATCTTTAGACTCCGTTGTGGCCACAACAGACTCAAGCACCATATGCACACCAAATTAAAAGTGGGAGAGTCAGCGATCTGTGAATGTGGACACGGCCAAGAGGATGCCAACCATATCCTTCGGAACTGCCCGCGTTACGCCACCCTTCGTATACAGACATGGCAAAATGTGGCTCCCCTTGAGAGAAAGCTCTAAGGCAGTCTCTCAGAGTTGAAGCGAACTGCACAGTTTGAGCGCGACATCGGACTGACTGTCTAGCTGCTGTCATTGAGAACAAGGGGAAAAAAAAATTTAGTAAAGGTGAGCTACAAAAGATGTTAAGCAGTGTCACTGTCACAGGATTGAGATGAGTGACCTCTGCTGTTCCCTCCTGAGGAAAGCGTGACTACAGTAGCACAAGAAAGAGGCAACAAACAGTTCTGTTTCCGTATTACAGATAAGTATATTGCTATACAAGTCAGCATGCTCCTCTTTTAACATTTTCTGAACGACCTGAATAGGCAAATTTCTTTTGAAATCGCGAAAATTGCCAATTCGAGTCACAAGGGAACCCCCCCCCCAAAAAAAAACAAAAACCAGTATAACTCTTTACCTGTGGAGGGGGTTTTCCCACTATGCTGGGGCCCTTTTTTGGTACAAAACCTGAGAGTGATATACACGTCACTAATTTGGTCATTAAATCAAAACAAATGAAACTACTTTTATTATTCTTCATCTTATTTAAGAGCTCCCAATAAAAAAAGTTATTTCTATTTTCTGTGATTGCCGTAAAATTAATATTATGTCATCATCGTCATAAAGGAATTTGACCAAGCCGCTGACAGTGGATTGCCGGCCCTGTGGTTCTGACCTCAAGCTACTCACAGATGGCAGTTTGTAAAAGATAAGGAGTTAATCTTATAATTAACACAACAGTCCCTCCACCTTCCTCTAACCCTCCCCCCTCTCCCCAAAAATATTTAAAAATAAAAATAAAAACAACAAAAACACTCACTTGCTCACATCTTCCCTGTTGAGAGCCACAAGAGATGCCCTATCCCACACAGCTTCAAATGTGCCTTCCACATCTCTGTAGCAAAGAACACAACAATTTATAAAGAGAAAGGGCCATTACTCAACCAGTAAATAAGGGTCACAATCATCGCAAAGCTGGGGAAAAAAAATAAAACAAAGAAGACTTCAGTGGAGTCGGAATTAAACGGAACACTACTGCTAATCCAGAAACAGCGGTAAACCAATACAAAATAGAATCCCTGTGTGTTTATTCCTTCACACCTTGAGCAATCTATTTAGAATAACCGAACTCCACTGTATTTCAACAGAACCAAAGGTGCCCCCCCATATACCATCTGGCTGGTTACCAAATGTACAAAGAATTTATTTTGAAAGACACAGGAATTTTTTAACAAGCGTATACTATAAAACACATTGGATAAGACAAGCTGACAAAAAAGAAAAATCGTAACTCATCAAGCTCATTGACTCTGCTGCATACTGCAGTAAACACAGTAACAGTAGGTATACATACTCAAAATTGATCCTTAACACTACAGAAACCAAAACCAACCACAAAGTACAAGTATTCCTTCTGATTTTGTTTGCCTCTACAGTAAGGTAACAAACAGATAAACTTACGGACTAAAATTCAGCATGTCTCCCAGATATAAGTGAATTTTGTTATCAGAACTCTGAAAAAAAAATACACACAATAGACAATACATTAGTAAATCATTATAGTTATAGGGAATAAACCACTTAAGTCTAAGTCCATTAAGAAGAACAATTACTCTATATTTTGTATCTCGAACTATCATGTGTTATTTTAAAAAGTTACCATATTTTCCCCTTCCCCTATACACGGCATCACTTTTCGTCCGATTCTGTTAATTTTAGTTAGTGTGACTCAGCAGCCCGCCGGAGCTCCCTGGCTGGGTCACAGGGTAAATGAGCTCTGAAGCGACTTTGTCGGTGTTGTTTAAATAAGAAGTTCGCATTTTTGTCTACATTTGAAACAATATACCTTCTTCCCCACCCTACACAGCAAACTATTACACTGAAACTGAAGTACTAAAAAATCAATGTCTTGAGATTTATTCTGCGTTAGTATTGTTAATCTATGTACCTTAGTTTTTGTTCTAGACAAGTGTTTGTAGAGTATTCCAATTTGTCCTTATTTTAGTTACATATTTATGAACAAATGATTGTTTATTTAAAAATGACATGACAGGTCTCTCCTAAATATGTGACTACTGACGACGAATATCATGTCCTTTATTATGGGAAATCTTAAATCTGCGCAAGTAGTAATAGTCAAGTTATAAGAGCAGAAAGATGCACATCTGCATTTTATGACAAAAAACACTCAGCCTTAGCTCTTGTTTTACCATTAAACAAGAGAAAGTTACACTGTGTTTGTTCATAAATCATGCTGTGTCTGTGGCAGCCTGCATACAACTAAGAAAGATATATTAATGCAGTTTTTAAAAAAACACAAAACTGTGTAAATACATGGGTACAGATATACTTCTTGTATGTAATAAAAACAATGACAGCTGACACATTCATTTTTAGTTTTTGTCAGAAATATGCACGGACACTTATAAATGTAAAGAGATCAGAACATTGTCAGGTATTGCAAATGGTCATAGAAACGAAATAAAAGCTGGAAAAGTCTGGTAATGATTCAGTGTCACTGGAAAGCTAGTTAAATTATTCTTATAACCCAATTACAAGAAGTCATCCCTGCTATTTAGTCAACTTAAAAACCTACACTTAGTGTTTTAACAAAAGTAAGGAATTTCTGGACTGTAACAGATACTGTTCGTATACTGCATTATAGATATATTCTGGCGTTAAAATTGATTTGTACTTCTTCATAGAGAGACTACAGGGTAATTTTTATAAACTTTCGAGAAAATAAGCGAATATTCACGATTGTATTAGACAAAAAAAGTTGTATTTGGAGGAATTACTTCTAAGCGAATTGTGTGCCAGATGGGTAAAGTTGCAAAATGACAACTTTCTATTATATGTGCAGATACTATCCTTTCTGAGTATCTGCACCAATGTTATGTTGATCATGTTCCAAAAGTTCAACAGTTTTTTAAGTGAGTTTTTTTAATTGATTTTTTTTTTCATTCACATTTGTTCAAAAAAATTGACAATTTAGCATTGCCATGCCATACCGACTTCAGCGCGTCTAACTAAATAACCAGACAAGTTACAATGTTTTAGTTTTAGTTTTAGAAGAGGTTTTGAGTGCTCGCAACAGCAAAAGGTCATATGAGCGCCAAGGGATGGATGTCAACAGAGAAATCCTTACAGAGAATCAGGCTTACTCTGCTTCAACAGCACAAAGTCTGCTTCGACTATCAAGGCACGCCGGAAATAGCGGGTCACAATAATGAGACAAACATACAAAAGAAATAGAGGAAAAATGACGATAGTAAGGATTAGGAAAGAAAAAGCAGCAATTCCCTGTTGCAGTTTAGGCACAGTTATGACTCCTTATGAGCATGACATCAGCCCAATTACAATTCTACTATGCATAAGAACATATTAACCTCCCCCCCCCCCCCCTTTGGGAATGGCCTAAAGACACTTCAGTCAGTAGCACCGCCCAGGGGGGTACAGTTATAATGTCCGTTCTTTTTTGAGTCTCAAGAGCAGAAATGCATGCTTTGGGTGCATTAAATGATAATTACCATAAATACAAGGATATACCTAGAACTTTACGTTGAAAAGTACCAAAAATTAAGTCAGCCCAGACAGAGCGGCGACAGGGAAGCTGATCCCCTAGTTTGCTTTAGTAAGAGTTTTACGGCGCTCGCAACTGCATAAGATCATATGAGCGCGTGAAAAAAAAAATAGGTTCCATTCACAACAGTTCACTGCTCAGCCTGATTCTGGTCAACACTTCTACTAAAATGCTAAAATACTAAAAATTTGATGTAAATAAATTTCTAATTTAAAACAACTTTTTAAATAACATTAACAATTTTAAACAATGTTATTCACAATTTTCCGTTGGCCTTTATTAAATCAAGGACTCTGTTAGGATCAATGACTGAAAACAGATCTTCCATTTTTTTGTATCTCTCCGAAATCTAGACATTCTGTTAAAATGTGTCAAACGGTAAAATCTGTGTTGCATCTGACACAAAACGGCTTCTCATCTCCCTGAAGGAGGTATTTATGTGTCAGGGACGTGTGTCCGATGCCTAATCGAGTAAAAATGACTTCATCTTTTCTGGAGAGGCCCGAAGGTTTTCGCGGACCCAGTTTGGGCTTAATATTGAGTAGTTCATTGTTTTCTATTTTTTTCCAATGAGTCTCCCACAGACTGGAGGTGTAGTTTTTTTCTTTATTTTTAAAGTCAGTCTGTGGGAGAGTGTTCGTCGTTGATCCAAACAGAAGGGACAAGGATTCTTTGGCTAGGAGGTCCACTTGCTGGTGTCCTCGGATGCTTACATGGCTAGGTAGCCATGCGAACAGAATACTTTTTCCGGTTTCAGCCAAAGTGTGAATTTTTTGTTGTTAACTATTTTTTAATGTAAGAGTGTGTAGTTTGTAAGTGAGGTGGTGCAAGACATAAGGAAAGATTTGTTAGGAGAATTTTCTACAGAGTCCAGTGCCATGTCAATGGCAGAGGCCTCCGCAGAGAAAATGGAGGCTTCGGGATGGAGTCTCCTATGGTGTGTACTGTTTGGGAATAGGGTAGCGGCGCCCACAGCGGAGTCCAGTTTAGAGCTATTTGTAAAGATTAGCTCTGCACCGGGGTATTACTCTATAAGTGTTTTGTATTCTGCTTTAAATGTTTTAGTGTTTGTGCTTGCTTTGGTGTGTGTGGTCAGCTGTAAGTCTATTTTTGCCTTGGTAAGGTGCCACAGAGGGAGTTCGGGGAAAAGAAATTGTTGGATGTCTAGTTTGGAAAAGTGTATGTTTTTATGGTCCTCAAGGACTCTGAGTCCGAAGGGTTTGATGAATTATTCCTTGTTTTTGAATTTGTTGATGGAGTCTGGGTTTGTTCTGAAAATACAGTCGTGTGCTGGGTTCTCTGGTGTTGAGCTTTGTTTAATTGCTTATTCTAAGGTATGTTTGCCTCGGCTTGGAGGCTCTCCACTGAAGAAGTGCAGAAAGCCCCCAGGGCTAGGCGGAGTTGATAAGACGCTCGATGGGGAACCCCACACTGCAACTAAAATTCCACTGCTGGTGCGCCATGTATAATGCATTTCCAAATGACGACTGATCGGCTCGTCATTTCAGCCATCAACAGTTTTTGGGTTCAGGCTTTTAAAGAAATATCATGAGCATGAAAAAGAAATACCAACCCCCCCCCTTCTCTCAAGAACACTACAAATTGCATTCTGCATACTGTGCACGGTACACTACGCTACGAGTGACCTGTCAAAGACAAACAACAGTCTTGTGGGACCTTCATCATCTGGGCCTTTAAAAGCAAGCTTTTAATATGGTCATCACACAACTTAAGATTGCTCTTTTCATGTGGAGTTCATGAATAAGGAAAAGAATAACTGAGTTCATGGTCTGAGAAAAAAGAAAGAGATAAAGTAGAGATAACTTTTGTTTCTCACATATGCTACTGCAGAAAACAGCTGTGTAATCCATATATATATTGTAATTCCATAGCCTTTGATATTACAGAGCTCTACAGCAGAAGACAGCACTAGTCACCTTTAACAGTGCACCATTCTCTGCAAGTTGAGGAGCCTTCTCCTCAGTGTACTGTAGGTTCTGGTCAGAGAAGAATTGTTCTAGACTCATGCGGACAGCATCCAGTCCTACAACAGAAATATCCTTGCCAGCCAGCCTGTTATGGATATAAAGAGCAAATACCATTTCATGTTTGTGCACAAGGAAACATATTATTTCACACCTGCAAACATTGAGCGTAGATTACACTTACTAACATGCCTTACCAATAAATATAACGAGCAGAAAATCACAAATACTCACGTTAAGAGTACAACAACATGCATAAAGAAAAAGAAGGAATGTCAGCCACTCAACAAACCAAAATTTAAGAAAACTCCCAAAAATATTTATCCCTCAAATAAAACTAACAAATGTGACGTTGTACTATGTCTAACAAGGTGCACATTCTTTCTATTAATTCAAATCCAAATTAACTCTTTTCCTACCAGGCCAAAATCCACCAATGGCCCAGGGCTTTTCCCTGGCCTATTTTTACGCCCCTACCCCACCACAGGAAAAGGTCAAAACATCAAGCTAAAAACACTCAAACCATATCATATTGCCCATCAAACTGAAGGTTAAAAAATAATCTATCAGATAGTGATACAATATTGAAGATTTATTCCAATTATATTAGTTTGGGGTTTCTAAAAGTGATTATGCAATATCGAAGGTGACATATGAAACCAACAATTTTCCAGCTTTGAAAGGTCATATCTAAAAAAAGTACAACAACAGCATCATTCAAACTTCCCAGGTAGGTTGCCTTAAGTGATGCAAAGAAATGCTTAAAGTTATGTATGTGTACCTGATATAGAAATGAACATATTATGAGACATATACTGAAGTCAGGAAAGCGGTTTTTTCTCTCTCATTTTTACGTTTCGAAGGGGACAAAAAAAAGGGCTGAAATGACTGAAAATCGTCTCTCAGTGCTATATTTTCTTTCGTATCTGCTAACAGGAAGTTTATTCTATTATATTGAAAACTTGGATCGGCCGAGAACTTCATTACTGGCTTGGAATCAAGGAGATTAAAAGTAATGGAGGATGCTCTGTGGCCGGCACCGCACGCCTGATAGGAGCCCTCTCTCGTGGCGGAACCGTGGGCTACCTGCGCTGCGCGATTGCCCGACTAAGGCACTGAAATCTAGATAAGAAAGAAGGTTTTATTCCACGGTCCTTCAGATTAGGCAAGTCAATTAGTTAAAATGCCTTGCACCTGTGTTGTATTTAAGTGTAAGAACCGATATGATGCTGCAGTGGACCGAAGTTTTCACAGTTTTAAGTTGTTTCCCTTTTTAAAAATTTGAATGAAAGTGTTCCTATGCCCCCAGCAACACAATTTAAATCATTAATATTCATAAGAGGCTGGCACCAGCGCTACATGCCAAGGCCAACCCAGGCTGAAAGGGATACAACACCCCAGCAGAAAGACTGAGATACTCAATTTTTTAAAAGTATTCTTATTCATAAATATATAATCTATATAATTATTATGAGTATATATACTTATTATGTGTGTGTATGTATATACACATTATACATTTTAATTAAAGATATTGCTTTCCTTTGTGTGTGCAAATTGGATGCTACTGTAGTCTAAATGTAGATATCTAGAGGCTCCATTAGAACATGAAATCAATACTCAACAACAATAATGATGAATATTTTCTATGTTAAAGAAACACCAAACCATATCAGATGAGGGGAGAGGGTAGGGTGGGGTGGATAAGAGTTTGAGTCTTGTTAGATAGAACTATACTCGGTTTAATTCTATTGTTGTAGTCTTCACCTAAGATCCCACAATCAATAATTCCGGTTCACTTAAGATTCTGCTGTTAAAAAATAAACTACACAAAGCAACAATAAATTTTACTTCACAAGAGTCATCACTAAGATAAATTACCCCCCTCTGGAGTGTAATAAGGGACTAAAAACGCTGCTCTCCATATCATACTTTACTGAACAAAAAAACCCAACCCTTCAAAGGTTATCCACGCTCATGCATGCGATCACACCTCCAAGGGTGCTGTTATCTCTTTTTTTTTAAATATTTGAAATCATTGTGCGCTCCACTTTGTGAAAACCAGGAAACAAAATTATTGTGATCAATAATATTATTTATAGACCAAGACATACTGTTAGCAATTAGATAAAGCAAACATCGACCCTCTTTTGTGTCCGCCATTCCTTACACATAAAGTTAGTTATGGCGCACGCCTAGAATCATGCAATCATATATCTTAAATTCAGTTTAAAAGTATATTTTTATCCATTTCTTATAATTAAATATTTTAGCATCTTGAAAGATTATCTTTATAATTTGGTATGTTTGATAATTTTATGTTACTCGTACAAGTTTTCTTCTTATTTTACACATCTTTTTGATTTTTAAACTAGATTGTAACATAAAACTCTTAAAGAATTGAACAGTCCGTATCACACACATAATTTTTTTTTCTCCCTGTCATTATCCGTCAGCCCGTCAGTTGATCACAATCTCTCTCTCTCTCTCTCTCTCTCTGTCTGTCTGTCTGTCTGTCTGACTCACTATCTCTCTCTCTCTCTCTCTCATTCAATTTTTCCCATTCTCCTTCGTCCCTTCCCAAGGCCCGCCCCTCCTCTTTCATCCCAGCCCCATCCCCTCTTCCTTGCGTGCATTCCCCCACCCCGCCCACCCCCACAATGTGGCCCAGCCCGATAAGATTCTATAAAAAGAAACGCCACAGTTCGTGATTTAGCCCACACTCGGTCGCCATATTTGATTCCCACCGCTGTGTACTGCTCGTGGCACCGCGAAGAGAGAGAGGAGGCTCCATTAGTTCTAAGCTCCTTGCTTGGAATAGATAGTGAGCCACTTGAGCCGTATTTTGCGGCTCTCGGTCCAGCGAGGCCAGGTCCGCGAGCCACAATGTGGTAGGGAAAGTGTTAACTGACAAGGCTTAATCTTGATCCTGACCCCCTTCAATTAGAAATTGCTTCTCCGGACATTCTTCTCTAAGAAAATTTAAGATAACCTAAACTTTCTATGTTATTGATGAACTTATTTATCAGATTAATCTCATTACTAAAGCACTGTAATATCCAATCATTTTTCTCATTATAACAGTGTTTTTATCAATTTTCAACTTTACTATGTTTCCATTTGACAAATAAGCTACCAGTACAAATATTTATTTCATCAATATCTTCAGACAATGGACATTAATTTAATAAAATAAAATAAACGCTATTTTGAAAAAATATCGATACATCAAGCATGACTCAACGGGTCACAGAAAAATTACAGGATAACTGGGAAAGCTTACCATCTCATGTCCAGAGTTTTCCCACACAATGGCACAAAGACTCTCCCGGTCTTGCCACTTGGGAAAAGCTTGTCAAAATATTTTATCAGCATACTGAGATGGCGAAACAAAGACAGGATTTAATCACATTTATATAATCATTTCTTCATGGTTGCAGAAAAATCGTACTTAGTATTAAGAACTAACATAGATCTATATTGTAGCAAAGCAAAGTTCACTCAAGAATGCACTTCATTCATTAAAGCAAAATTCTAAACTGTTATGTCTAATTATAAATTATGCTTTGAAAATTGTCAAAGTGAGCAAGGGAAAATTTCAAAACATTATTTTTTGGACTTTAAGGAGCAATACTTTCATCAAGCCAAATCGACAAGGTGTTTCCCTAACTAACCGACCAACACAAGCAGCCTCATGCCTATGGAATGATTAGCTTATTATAAATCAGGCTGAGCTAAGATTATGTATCGAAAATTGAGACTAAGATCATCTATAGACCATCTAAAGTATTTTGTCTGTTTGACGAAGTCTTTGCTGAGATAAGGGTTTACAATCTGGCGACTGCTTGGTAAAACAGCAAGATCAGATGAACTTTGGGATCTAATAAGTGTTTCAGTGTACAAGCAAGCTAATTTTGCTGATGCAAATAAAGCATAGTAAAGACATTAATATGATCTTTCATAACACACTCAAAGAGTTCTACTTACGGATGAACTTCATCTTTGTGAAAACCAATGCTTCCTTCATCCCAGCGATTGCTCCAGTATTTAATACGATCTCCAGTTGAAGCCATTGTTGTCGAATACTGAATAGCAGAAAGATTAAAAAAAATTTGAGTAACTTTGTGTCATGCTCTATTTAACCCCCCCCCCCCCCCCCCCCCCCATTTTACAGATTAATACAAACCCCCCAACCCATTCACACACTCATATTTCACAATACTTTACTATTGCTATCTGTAATAGTGTGTGTCTAAGATTGTGCCTGCCCACTGTCATGGTACACAACACAATCAATGTAGGCAATGACAGTGGGTGGATTGTGTTGTGGCTCTACTAGGTGTAACCTCACATTCGCAGCTCTTAGTTTAGGCTGACAGCTTCCCTTTGTCTCTGGCAGTAGAAGAGTAAACACGTTTTTAAATAATCTTCAACTCGCAAGTCATTATTCTTATCCAGATTTCAGAATGTTAATACATGCCATGTAAAAAACACACCAAACTACGTATCAAATTGGCCATTATTGAGACAATTTAAAAAAAGAATTATAAGACAAATGCCAAAGTTTAAAATGTATTTTTCAGACATTGATTTGCAACTCAGCATTCTGTTATTGTTATACCCTAAAAAAGACGTTCTGCTGTTATCGCCCACTTGATTCTGCCATAGTGAGTATGACTATTAAAGAGATATTGTACTTTATTAGCTGAGTTCCTCTGTAGTAAATTAGTAAATCAGTAAGTTGTAAGTGAAAAAAGAATCCACACAACAATATACATTATTATACGATGGAGTCCCTTTGAACCAAACATGGTTTATCCAAAAACAGTGGTAAACCAAAAGAAAATAGAATCAACCATTCCACGCCCATATCAAAACTACATGTATTAGGTTATTTAAGAGGTACGAACTCGAGATCCCAGTTTAATGTCCATCTCTGAAAGGACTGAGCCAAATGGGAAATTTGTGTGAAGTGTCTCTCCAAAAGACACATTGTCAGACAGAGCTCAGGCCCGAACCCCCGCACACCCAATCTCATGATTACAAGTTTGGTAGCCTAACCATTAGGCTACCGACACCATGATTTTTGTCTTTGTATGAAAACTATTGAAAAGAGACTATATCACAACCAAATCTTCAAACAAAGTCCCCCTCCTTGTCTTTCTCTGACGTTAGTTTCCAAATGAAAAAGACACATCATATGTCTTTCCCAAGCTGAATGACAGCAAAGGCATGTTCTTTTTTAATGAATTTGGTACGAGACAGACATCCTAAGGCACAGATATATATGACATTGTAGTATGAAAAGATTGGTGCCCTATTACAATGTGAAAGGCTTACAAACCAAGGTATATGAATATTTAGACACCTAGTTGAATGCAATATATTCACAACAGGCGCAAGATTTTGCACACCGAGGTAAAAAAAAAAAACACAGCTTGCTAAGTTTTTAAAGATTCCCAAGACACATCATGTAATCCAATGACAAAATTACCAATAAATAATTTACAAGCAGGAATCTATGTGTCCAAAGCCTCCCCGACGTCTCCCTTATAATACATTAAATATATGTCAGAACACGGTGCTACAAGGCTCTTGTCAATTTTTGGCATGTGGATTGCAGTTATTGGTATCATCTTACAGCTAGTTCATTTCTCCATCTTTAGATGGAAAGAAAAGTCCACCTATCTTGAATAGAAGTCGAGACATTTGCAATTTTAAAAAGTGGGGGTCGCCTGGTTTCAGAAGGAAAAATAATTAGCGAGTCGTAGCCACTAAAGTTAGGGTGACTTCCATAGCCAAGAGTTCGTGGAAACATTGTCGCCTTTTATATTCACGTTTAAAGTGTAGCTTTTGCAATAACTGTTGAACGGAAACGGCAGCAAAGACATTTGTTGTGCCTTTGATAAACTTTTTTCAATAAAACCCAAACAAATGTATTAAACGGTCAATACAGGTGTTGAACCAAAACACAAAAATTCGATAAAAATTTCCAAGCCGGTGGGAAAATGCTGGAATTGGTATAATTCAGTTTCACTGTTTTGACAAGCACAGCTGATTTCACAACGATGCCATGCATTATAAAATAATATTATAGGTAGGTAAAATTTTCTGCTTTCACCCCCTTTCCGGCTTTCTAACAATGTTTTGTCATCTGTTTTCGTCTCCACTTTCTGCCCCCGTCCCCTCACCTCCTTTGCCCCCTCCTCTGGACTCCTGACTCTTTCTGCAACCTTTCTACTGCTGCTCCTTGGCTCCATCTTACTGCTGTCTTTCAGCCACACCCCTGACCTTATGGTAGATAAGATCTAACACCTAGTCTTCTCTGCAAAAAATCTTGGGGGTCCCATGTGCAAGTTGCACATTGAAAGATCCCTTATCGGCAAAATTCAAAATTGCTACCAAACTAAAATTGTTTAATGTGTCCCGCATGCTCATGACCATGCAGTTGTGAGCACTGTAAAACACTTACAAAAAACAAAACAAAACATGCACTGCTTTGAGGAAACCGCTATATATATATCTTTGGCTGCATAACACACAAATTACCAATAAGGTAGAGTCTTTATACACTATATATAGTGTTTCTATCCAAATATTACTAAACCGCACTATATATATATATATATATATATATATATATATCATTGAAAAGAAACACTATATAATGCGCGCATAGCAATATTTGGACAAAAACACTACTATATATTCACCCCTGCAGATGGGGGCCCCATTATGGGGGAGTAAAGAATACACCTGCCGTGATACTGCGTGTCGTAAGAAGAGACTAAACGTGCATACCTCTGGTCACCCAAAAAGTGCCAGTTTGCGGAGGGCCAACTACCCGACCCAGTAAAAAAGGAAAGTAATAGAAACACGGACAAACACGCCTTATAATTTTTCCATCTTAGGAAACAGGGGAGCTTCTGTATCAGCAGGAACAATGAAGGACAGCGGACAGAACCGAAAGGACTCTTCTGACTCAAACCCTTGTCTGTCGAACAAGTCTCTCCAGATTGCGTCGTGGAATGTTCACACCAAATACGAAGCAGGAAAGAGTTCTCAAGTGGCACATGAGATGAAGGGATATACAGGCTGCACATACTAGGAGTCAGCGAAACCCACTCGATACAGCCTGGACAGAAGCAGCTCAGCTCGGAAGAACAAATATTGTATTCTGGGAGGGAAGACAAGCACCGTGTGGAGGGAGTCGGAATTATTTTGAGTAAGTAAGCACAGAAGTCACTTAGAGGATGGGAACCACAGTGGGAGAGGATCATCATGGCTTCTTTCACTACCAGGAGTAAGAGCATCAACATTAATATAGTACAGATCTACGCCCCAACAAAAGAAGCTTCAGATGAAGACAAGACCCTTTTTACAGCCTGCTCCAGGGGGTCATCGACAAACTACAAAGGAAGGATGTCAACATCATAATGGGAGATGCCAATGCCAAAATTGGTCAGGACAACATAGGTTAAGAGGGAATCATGGGACAAATGAATGACAACGGTGAGTGATTTGCAAAAATATCAGTGCTTTCAACAGTCTTGTCATTGGAGGCTCTGTTTTTCCCCACAAGAGGATCCACAAGGCTACTTGGGTATCACCGGATGGAACGACAGAGAACCAGATCGATCATTTTTGTATTTCTCGTAAGCTCAGGCATTCACTGGAAAATGTCACAGTACAGCGAGACGGGTAGACGTTGGATCTGATCATCATCTGCGGTTAGCAAAACTCAAGCTTCGTCTAAAAAAAGCACGGAACCAGAACAGGAACCAAAGAATATAGATCTAGTTCCAAGTAAGTCTTTTAGACTAAGATGGACACAACAAGAAAGAGGAGTTTCAAGTGCAGTTGAGGAAATTAACAGATTTCAACCCTTGGTGGATCTTGGTGAGGAGGACATAGAGGTGGAGATACACCGGACCAAAGTCATAGAAGTCTTTACTTCAACATGTCAAGAAATACTCGATGAGAAGAAATTGAAGTGTAAGGAATGGATTACCAACGGTCATTGGATTTGATTAGCCTTAGAAGACAATTGAAAGCAGAGACAAATGCAAGTAGAACAAAAGGGGATCAAAAGCGGACGTATCGGAGCAGTACAGGACAACAGCTAAAGATGTAAAGAGATCACAGAGAAAAGACAAGGAGGAATTCATGAACAGGCTTGCAGAGAGGGCAGAGGAGACACCAGCAGGAAGAAACATGCGAATCCTTTACACCAGACTACAAAGACTCTTTCTGGAAAATATGGGAAACCAGAAGTAACAGTAAAGGACCAAGAGGGGAAAAAAATTTTTGGAAAGGAAGCTCAGTCAAGACGATGGGCAGAAACACTAGATCTATCTATTATATCTATGCATCAATATCTGGACAGAAACACTGCTACATATAGATCTATATAGATTCTATGTATAGTGCGTATGGCGTATAGCAATATTAGGACAGAAACACTAGATCTAGATCTAGATCTAGATCTATAATAGTCTATAATATATATTATAGATCTAGATCTAGTGCGTGTATAAAAAAAGAGCAGACCAGTAAAGTAATTGCAAATCAATCAATTTTGTCGAGCAAATTTCAAACACACTAATTTTTAATTTTTAAAAATTTAATATGGGGGGAAATACAGGGATCAGAACCTGCCCCTAGCCCCTTCCCCAACCCGATTTAGTTTTGCCTCAAGCCTGGGGTACGCCCCCTTCAACACCCTAACCCTGATTTTTCAAAGAGCATGATGAGAAATATTTTATTGGACCCAGAATCTAGGATAAATTTGTTTAGGCTAGATTTTTAGATCTAGATTAGATCTAGATTAGATTTTAGAGTCTAGATCTAGATTCTAATATAGATCTAGGCCTAGGATCTAGATAGCTCCTACTCAAAAATATAATATTTTCATTGCGTTCGTATTAGATTTATCTGTTATAGGCCTACAATAGTCAATAGGTTATAACTATTATAGTTATATAAATTTATATAACAATTTGAATTAGGTAATATAAGGGCTTACCCTACAAATGTGTATTGCATTGTGGCGATTCAATCAATATTCATATAAAATGTACAGTATTTATTGACAAAACAAGTTCGTAACTTTATTACAAATGCTGGTTGCAGAGATGCAACTCCCCTGCACTCTTAACTTTAGACTAGGATCTAGATCTAGTACCTGTTTGACTAGAGGAGAGGAACAAATCTTGCTCCTTGTTGAGAAAAGCTTGAAGGTCTGACAACGCAAAAACTTCGAAGCATTCGCCACTGTCACACAACGCTGCAATGCCCTGGCAAATCCTACTTTCGTTATCACCATCATCACTAAGCACAGGCAGAAGCTGATGAACTGACACAATGAAACAGGCTATCGGCTATCGTTTCAATGGATAATTAAGTGTCAATCCCGGTCCCGTCCTTGATGACATTGCAGAGTGAACACCATGTTGCGGCCCTGAGATTTTCGTCAATTTATGTTATTTTTTAGTTCAATGATGTTGAGAAAAACAAAAATAAAGGGCTGATTATGCCAGTTTGTATACTTTCAAGTGATAAGATCTCAACAAAAGTTTTCACCTTTAAAAACATTTTCAAATTTCGACACAGGCAATCCAATACAATTGTTTCTATTTTATATCTCAAAATACTCTGGTGGCTTTATTTTTTTCTTTTTTTGTGTGTAAAATTAGAAAATCAAGACATTTTTACTCCACCTCATGAAAACCTGGCGTTGTTTGTGCTTTGCTTGCAACATTGGCCATTTCCTATGGGTGGGAAGGGATGTTACTCTTCGAGAATTGAGAAGAGACAACAAGACAAGTGTGAAGTAGACTAGTGTGGTCACTTGTTATAGTGGTGTGGTCCGTAATTTTTCCCGTCTGTGTCAGTTTCTTTCAACGCAGAGAAGCACGTTGGCTTTGAATAGAATTTATAGTATTTAGATCTATATTCATTTTGTGTTAGCCTGTCTTAAGCGTATTAATCATGTCTTCTTGGAAGAAGAATAAAGTTCAGAAGGTTCACAGAGAACGGCCTCAGGTAAGTCAAGTGCAAGGCAGGGGTGAGGGGAGGACTTCCTAGAGCGACCACTACTATCATCCTAGATCTATGAGACGGAGAAGAACAGAGATGGGTAGGGTTTAGGTATTGGGTAGGGTTAGGTCTCTTCTTTATTTTGTTTGTTGGAGTGGTCGCTCGTTACAGAAGTCCTTCCGAATTGAAGAATTTAACATGCTATTAAAGTTTATAAAAGACGAAATGTATACTACAGGCCCGGTAACCGGGAACAAAGTCACGAAGTATACAGACCCGGTATGGGAACTCTTTTGTGATTTCGGAAAGTTTCAGCACCCAGACCCGGTAGTGTGTGTGAGAGAGAGAGAGAGAGACGAACGAGAAAGACGAGATGAGAGAGAGACATTGTTCTTTTCTTCAAATTGTAATTCCTCCAACTCCAAAACAGAGGAAAAACGGCCGTTCATCGAAAAGACATCCGCAATCTTCTTTTAGATCTAGAATCTAGATCTAGGCTAGCCTCGAAACTAGATCAATGATTTGTGTCTGTCTAGATCTCGACCTAGGCCATAGATCTAGAAGAACCTAGGTCTACCCTGAGCCAAGAGGGCGCTGAAACTTTCCGAAATGACAAAAGAGTTCCCCTACCGGGTCTGTATACTTTGTGACTTTGTTCCCGGTTACCGAGTCTGTATACACTCCCTATAAAAGATCACTGTTCAGCCCTGAATTTTACCATGATTCATGATAATTTGATGTTTTGCAGTTGTTATATTAAATGTGGATAGATCTCGATCTAGATGTAGATTCTAGATCTGTCTAGAGTCTAGAGACCCCTCTCCGCTTACCGGCACCTCCCCATGTTATGTGATGATGACTCTTTCCGGAAGTGAACTTTTGTCCATAACTTCGGCTCTTTCAAAAACATCGACTCAGAATCGAAGTGGCTAGCCGTACTTAAGTATGGTTAGCCTAAGAGTCTAGCCGTACTTAAGTACGGCTAGACTGCCAGTCTAGCCGTACAGATCTAGGTTTGGCCCTATCGACTCAAACCTGTTAAGTACACAGGTCTCATTAGATCTATATATATATAGATCTAGATTCTAGATAGATCTAGATCTAGTAATTATTCAGGTTCAAATACAAGCAGGGTCAGTAAGGCACCTTTTGGTTTTTTGTCTTAAATACAAATACTTTAGGCATTGCAAACTAAAAATTTAGGCTGCGGTTGTTGGTACAATAGTGCGTACAACTCTAACTAGTTATTAGTACAATTGTACTAATCCAGACAGAGTTATTCGTACAATTGAATTTTGAAGGTTGTAAAAATAGGTAGCATCAATTGCCACAGAGTGACGCGGTGGCAATTGACAAAAATTGACTTTTTGTCAATTGCCACCGAGTGAAGCGGTGTCAAGTCTGAAAACAACACTATCTTTAGCATTATACATAATGTGTGTCCAATGGGTCAGTTTGTTTTCAACTGATTTCATTGGACGAGCATCTAGTCAAGAGCTACGGTACCATCTTGGCGTGTTTTCAATGAGACGTATCTAGATCTAGGCTAGCCTTTGACTTTGGTGTAGAACCAGCTCAGGCAATTCTAGAAGTAGGCCTAGAAGGTCACAAACTCAAGCAGAAGTTCAAGTTACATCAGGGAACATATGATAAATCGGGGGACGGGGGTCAGGAAAAGACACACACACACACAGAGGCGAACGCACAACACCGACCACTCGAGCACCATAAGCTACCCACAAATGCAAAAGAGCTCCAATTTACTCGATACCCTCGATGGCAATTGACAATAATTTTTGTCAATTGCCACCACGTCACTCGGTGGCAATTGACACTACCTTTTGTCAAATGCCACCGCGTCACTCGGTGGCAATTGACACTACCGTAAAAATAAGCCAAGATCACTAGATCTAGTCATCCAGTTGGTTCTCCCCTGGGTTGGGCATCAATGTAATAACTTTAACCAGGCCAAAATTGGTAGACCTAAAAGGAAAAGTAGGCTAGATCTAGATCTATACTTCTATTAAAATATAAGTAGATCTATAATTATGACTAGATCTAGATTATTAATTATGTTTCTTTGTTTTTACACAAAACCATGAGTGGAAATCTTTGAAGTCAAAACAAACAACTATGGGGAAAAAATTGTTGGTCAGTCGGGGGAGAAGAGAGAAGAAGAATAAAAAACAACCTTCCGGGGACCGGAATTCGAACCCGCACTCATAATATAATACTTCTTCAAACGCAGATATGCTGTCATTTCGGCCATCAGAACTATCAACAGAAGGAGGTAGATTAAAAGCTTAAATATTTTTACAGCACGGTTTCAACGCAACACACATTTCTAGATCTAAATCTCTAGACTTTGTTGGGTTTTTTTACATGAGGCCATGAGGGGAACATCATCAATGAGGCGGCTGGCATCAGATCGGCAGATAATGAAGTCTGATGAAAAATTACAAAATTTCAGCTGGTGAAATATTGGAAGGCTATTGTGAGGGGACCGTACGCCCCAATAGTGCTTGGCGCTAGGGGACCGCATGCCCCAATAGTGCTTGGCGCTAGGGGACCGTACGCCCCAATAGTGCTTGGCGCTAGAGGACGGTACGCCCCAATAGTGCTTGGCGCTAGGGGACCGTACGCCCTACCTGCGCTAAGGCTAAGTGTTAAGGGACCGTACGCAGATGTGCATGCATCTGGACTTTGCAAAAATACTGGAGGAAAACGGCCAGTTTAACGAAGCTCCTGGCGTTAGGAGTTCTTACAAAGAATGTTTAAAATGTCTGAATACGATTGTGGGGTATCGTATACAGTGGCGGTGGGTGTGCCAAAATTTGAATTTTTCTCACGTTGTTGTTGTTAAGTGTCAATAAAAGACATCAAAGAGAGACAGAGAGAGAGAGGAGGGGGGGGAGAGAAATAGAGAGAAGGAGAAAGAGAGAGAGAGATGGAAAGAGTTGGCGAAGGGAATGTTGGGGCGAACGATATGGTCGGCAGGGTATAATTATGCTGTAAGATTGAGAAGAGATCATTAATCATGTGGCGCCTTGTGTGGAATAAGGGTTAATAGTACAAATTAAATCCATAGCATAGCAACACTTTCTTTTTCCTTTCTTTTTTTGTTATTGTTATTGTCACTGAATGTAAGTAATTGATCTTGCGTCTTGCGCGCAATCAAGACTAAGTGTGTGCACAGGCGCAGGGGCGAAGGCTGACTTGTTTGACAGGGTAATCAAAGTGAAATGGGACCAGATAGGGCCTGGAGATATCACACTCACACAAGTCACAAGAATCTTACTGGCACTGGAGGCGGCAACTCTGAGTTGTGAATGAAAACAAATCCTGAATTCATGTTGTATGCTTGTTCAACCGCTAAAATAATAGGGAAAGTATTTCATTAAAAATTTATTCTAACTAACCTTAAATGTAACTTTAGAATTGAACACACGAAAACTAAGGAAAGAAGCAGAGATGTCAGCACTACAATGGCATGTTATACCAGACAGCCGAAACACTTTGGTAGAGAATGCCAATTATTAATTTTTTATTTCACATTTGGCTGTTTTTTTTTTCCAGCTTTTCGCAGCCAGGAGCCGGTGTCATAATCGAGGTCACGATCTGATTATAGGACGTTAAAAAGTCGAGGGAGAAAAAAACAAGCACTAGCAGTGTAGTAGCAGGAGTCAAAGGATTATTAGGAGTTAGTTCCCCTCACATCTGTGAGGTAGACTCGACCAGTGTAATAGTTCGCTTAGATAATCAGCGCGTCTGGGTGCTTATTTATAACTGTGGCATGAAAGGGGTGAACAGGGTATATGCGACAATGAAACAGTTCTGACTGCTATGCACATGTTCCCTTCAATTCTATTGGTTGACTCTTCCAGCCTCACTTTAAGCTTACTTAATCAAAGCTTGTGACTGCTTATGGAGTGGCCCGATAGGGGCGAACAGGCTATTTCTGTGGCAATGAAACGGTTTTGAAGGTTAGGCATAGTCTATTGTTCATTGGTGATTATGAACGTCTTTTTACATTTAATTTATGAGGTTTACGTCTATGGGTGAATTTGACTGCGACAATGTTTCAAAATTAGGAAGGGAAGCAGTGATTATTTGATTATATAGACGCTTTGCCTCTGCCCAGGCGTGTTCTGCATTAAGAAATGAGTAAATTTCCAGCGTTTACGGGCGTCATTGAATCGGGCTTATTTTTTTTAGGTCGCAAAGCTGAAAATTTTAATCACGTCTGTACGCAGAATACGCCTGAGCACACACACACTATTACCCTACTCTTTTTCTCCAAAACATAATAATTAATAATATTAAGATATCTTCCTTTAACTTTCATGAGGTTTACTCTCCTATTTACACTATTATAGTGCAAGGGTTCAGGCCTAGGGCCTGCATGGCAGGCCAGTTTCGTATTCTGACGGCATTGACATTATAATTATTTTTTGTTGTGTGTGTGAATTTCGGGAAATTGAACAAGATTTCTGTTGCTGAGGAAAGCGACGAAAATTCGGGAGATTCCCGAAAAATTTGGGAGAGTTGGCAGGTGTGCAATATCAAGATATAACGACTATGCGTAAGGTGTCCCTGATACTTAATCAATGTCCCTGATTTTGAGCAAGGCTGTCCCTGATAGCCACAGAGAGGGGTGGGCAGCTATGCAAATCACAACAAACTCACATGAACATCTTTTACTCTCGCACATACATGAATACTTCACTTTACTCTTCCACACATATAACAAACTCACATGAACATCTTACTCCCACTCAGGGCACACAAATGTAAAATGCTTTAGTTCACTCTTTGACATCTCGCTCAGCACAGCACTCTGTCGACCACAACGCCCCCTTTTGATACAACCATAACACCCCTTGTGGTACAACCACAACTCACACTCGTCCCAACCCACCTTACTCACCCTGCCCCCCACAAGTATAACACGGATTCGGATCTCTCAAAACACTCTCTTCTGCGGAGTGGTCATCGTCGTAAACCAGTCCCACCTCCCTTTCATCCTTTTCCTCTCTTTTGCTTCATCATCTTTGCCTGTACTTTCCTCTTCCTTCCCTTACTCCCGCTTCCTTTCCCTGTTGTTTCTTCTTCTTCTTCCCTGCTTTCTGCTTCTCCAACTTCGTTAACCTTTTCTTCTCTTTTCTCTTCTTCCTTCTCCACCCTTTTCTCTCCCTTTCTGTCTAGCTCTTTTCCACTTCTTCCTTTTTCTTCTAACTCTTCTTCATATTTCTTCGCCTCCTCCCATGCTTTGTACTTTGCCCCTACGTCTAAGACATATTTAGGGGCCTGAGCCCGCTTCTCTGTGTTGAAACCTTAGGAGTTGAACAGGAGTTCCAGCCTGCTGGTGTGGGCAGGTTGACAAACGAAGGGGCAGGAATGAGTTGATTGTACAAATCAAGGTACTTTCTGTATGACTCCCTCGTTCTCCTTAGGTTTGATTTTGTGCCAATGGCGACTGTGGACCCAATGCATGTTTGATGCTGTCCATCCAGTGGCAATGGCGTGATCAATTAGCATGTCACGGTCAAAGCAAAAGTGTTGTCCTGAGGCAGTTTTTGGTCTCAATGCCTGCTCAGGCAGACAATAGTCATGGTCCTAGTGTTGAAACCAAAGGTAGCTGAAACTCTGCTGCAGGATCCAGGAAGTCCTCGGAGGTACTTTCGATCCCTGAGAATTTCAGACCTCATGTGGTTGAAAAGTCTAGAGCGTCAACTGACCACTCACAACTAGAGACAAGGGCAGTTTAAGCAAATGAGGTAGATGGGGGTTTTCATAGCAAGATGGCACTTTGGTAGATCAATATATCAAACTTTTTTCTCTGAAGTTAGAAACAAAAGTAATCAGTTATATAATATTGCAACATGTCACAAGAACTTCTACAAAGTTAGGTTTTAATTAGATATTCAGGATGAAATTTTAAGTTTTAGATATGTAGCTTCTAAGAGTGTTTTTTAAAACTGTTTCTTTCTTCTTTTTTTTTATTTGTGGTTGTTCTACCTTCAACATTGTTTTGTTTGTTTCTATTCCAGCCAGCAGAGCGAGCGCACCTGGGGATGTTGGAAAGAAAGAAAGACTACAGAGAAAGAGCTAAGTAAGTGCTTATTTGTGTGTATGGAACAGTGAGGAACATAGATGGACATTAGAAAAAGGATCAAGCTAAGGACTTGGTAAAACTTTGATGGATGATATGGCCAGCTAAGCTTGCATGTGTTGTCCATTTTGCCTTGTTATTTTTTTTACCAAGTAGACGTATGGGTCATTCTTTCATGAATTTTTTTTTCAAACTTTAGAGTGAGAATAAAACATAATCATTTTGACTCTGCTCTATAATTAGGCTAGAAGTTTTCTTTTCAATCTTTTTTGTAATTGTCTTCTCACTTATATTCACTTTCACTTGGTTTCTCCCCCCTCCGCGCTCTCTCTCTCTCTCTCTCTCTCTCTCTCTCTCTCTCTCTCTCTCTCTCTCTCTCCCCCCCCCCCCCCCCCGCTCTCGCTTTCTCTCTGTCCTCTCCCTCCTCCCCCCCCACCCCCCAGTATCTGTGATGTAATAGTTAGGTATCTTGCCTTGCATGTAAAATATGTGAGTTCGAAACCCATATTGGTAAGGTGTGATAAAATCTCCTTCTTTCTGTTTAACACTCGCCCTGGGATAGAGTAGCCTACCTCCTTTCATTTTTTGAATCACATTTTATTAACAACAATGTTGCCACTCAATTTATACAGAGACTTTCACAAGAAGGAGGACACAATCAAGAAACTAAAGCGGAAAGCTGAAGATCGCAACCCAGATGAATTCTACTTTAACATGACTAGGACCAAAAAGACGGTATGTTATCATAACCGAATTGCAATGTTTTCTCCATATGTTTGAATGTTTTTAGTAATAGAAATGATGAAAATAGCTGTATAAACTCTATGCTTTTTAGTTAAAACGATTACACAGGCACAGATATCAAGATCTTATCTTACAGTGTTGGTAAAGGGGGATTGTTATCCATCCACGTTTTGTAGAGAGGCGTTTTAATTAACTCGTCATCTGGTTGTTGTTTTTTAAGATTTATTATTTAAATATACATTTCTTGCACTTAGAAGTGAATAAAGTATTGTTTCATATAAATTTTTGTGATCTTTGAAATTGGTAGTAGTTCGTACAGGTGTCAATAGAAAAATTACAGGTGAAAAGAGATTACTGATGCGAAATTCTCATTATAAATGGCCAAATTAAAGCTGGAACAGCAAAGTTTTACTCGAAAGTAGTGAAGACTTTTGGGGACTTACAGAAATATACAATTGACATTCATTACATTGTAACAGCATCTTTTTTTAATATAGTCACACTTGCTGCATGACATGACACAATCAAGAAGACCTAAACAGATAAAGAATGATAATTGCCTTTGAACTTAGATATGAAGATAAGATGTAGATCTAGAAACTATTAGTCTTGGAGATGTTACTACAGGAAGGAAGGGTTAAAGCAAGTTTACGGACAAGAGTGACGGGAGAGAAGAGGAATTTAGACCTACAATACACACTGTTGCCTTTGAATTAAGAATTTTTATGCACAATGTAGCATTCAGCTTCAGACTTTTAGGAGCGGGTGAGACAAAATAACAGAACATTCTGGCTTTTAGGATTCATTTCTCAAGGTTCCTTTCGAAGGGTACAAGGTAATCTCAGGAGGGTCTCTTTGGAAATCTAAGTACTGTACTTTGCTACCGTGCCTACGTAAATAAATAGCATTTGTTTAACGCATATAATAATATTCCAGCTCAACAGCAAGGTCTGTACACTTTATGATCGATATTATTACTCTAGAAGACCTCAGGATTTTCAGATACATTCTCAGCTTTCCATTACCTGAAACATACAGTCTAGCATGCACCTGACAGAATCAGCAGGATTCAGAATTCTTGCTATTTTGTATAAATTTTGCCATGTTCGTATTTAGATACTAATGTTCATTAGAAAAAATCCAGGACCTGAGAATCCTTTTGTTATGTGCATGTTCTGATCACGGCGCACCGGCATTGGAATTTTAGTTGCAGCGGGGGGTTCCCTGCCAGGCGCCTTATCCCGTCGTGGTCATGGGGGTCAGCTCTCTGTCGCAGCTCTGTCTGGGCCGACTTAATTTTTGGTACTTTTTAACGACACATACAATTTTATGTGTATCCTTGTATTTGTGGTAATTCTCATTTAGTGCACCCAAAGCATGCATTTCTGCTCTTGAGACTAAAAAAAGAATAGACGTTGTAACTTGTCTGGTTATTTCATTAGACACGCTGGAGTCTGCAATGCTGAATTGTTAATTTTTTTGGACTAGCGTGAATGAAAAAAATCAATATAATAAAAATGGCTCGACAAAATCTGTTGAACTTTTGGAACATGAACGATATAGCGTTGGTGCAGATGGTATCTGCGCATATTATAGAAAGCTGTAATTTTGCAACTTTATCCATCGGGCACACAATTCACTATTAAGTAATTCCTCCAAATACAACTTTATAGTCTAATATAATGATGAATATTTGCATATTTTCTTGAAAGTTTATAAAAGTTACCCTGAAGTTTCTAGCTCTATGAAAAGTACAAATCGATTTTAGTGTCAGAATACATCTTCAATGTAATACACGAACAGTATCTGTTACACTCCAGAAATTCCTTACTTTTCTTAAAACGGTAAGTCTAGGTTTTGTAAGTTGACTGAATGTTAGGGATGACTTCTCGTAATTGGGTTATAAGAATAATTTCTAGCTTTCCAGTGACACTGAATCATTACCAGACTTTTCCAGCTTTAATTTTCGTTTCTATGACCATTTGCAATGACTGACAATATTCTGATTTCTTTACATTCATAATTGTGTCCCATCCCCGGGGTGGTGCCACTGACTGAAGACGAAGTGTCTTCAGTCCTTTCCCAAAGGGGGGACATTTCTCGTTCAAGCATAGTAGAATTGTAAATGGGCTGAGTCATGTCACTCTCATAACTGTGCCATATCTACAACAGGGAACTGCTGCTTTTTCTTTCCTGGTCCTTACTATTGTCATTTTTCTCTACTTCTTTTGTATGCTTGTCACTCTATTGTGACCTGCTATTTCGAGATGCCTTGATAGTCGAAGCAGACCTTGTGCTGTTGAAGCTAGAGAGGTGAGCAGTCTAAGTCTGATTCCCTGTAAAGACTTCTCTGTTGACACCCACCCCTTGGCGCTCATATGACCTTATGCAGTTGCGAGCACCGTAAAACCCTCTACTATAATATAAAATATAATAGTTGTGTCCGCGCATATTTCCCACACAAAAACTAAGAATGAATGTGTTAGCTGTCATTATTTTTATTCCATGCAAGAAGTTTATCTCTACCAATGTATTTACACGGTTTTTGTGTTTTTTAAATTCACTTATATTATATCTTTTTTAGTTGTATGCAGGCTGCCACAGACACAGCATGATTGATGAACAAAAGCAGAGTAACTTTCTCTTGTTTAATAGTAAAATAAGAGCTAACGCTGATCGCCTTAGTTAAAAAATACAGATGTGCATCTTTCTTCTCTTATAACTTGACTATTACTACTCGCGCAGATTTAAGATTTCTCATATTAGTTGTCAGATTAACACAGATTCTGGAGAGATCTGTCATGCCGTTTTTATATTAACAATCATTTATTCATAAGTTTGTAACTAAAATAAGACAAATTGGGTTCTCTACAAAAACTTGTCTAGAACAAAAACTAAGGCACAGAAATTAACCATTCTAACCCAGAATAAATCTCAAGACATTGAGCTTTTTGCCGCGTAATGGTTTGCTGTGTGGAGTGGGGAAGAAGTTATATAGTTTTAAACATAGACAAAAATGCGAACGTGACCCCGAGCTGGGGAGCTTCGGCGGGCTGCTGAGTCATGCTAACTAAAGGTAACAGAATGGGACGAAAGTGACGCCGTGTGATATGTGCGTGCTAGACTGTATATCCTTATTCAGCTGTAGACTGTTTGCTCTTTACTAGTACCTTTATTACTACCTTACACTGAGAGCCCTGTGACATTCTAAAACATTCTCATCTTCCTGGGAAACAATGGTGTAAAGCTGCCATTTTACCCACACATGACTGATTACTTGCGAGATCTTCCACCAATGATTTTTCCTCCTCAGGATGGAGAACATCAGCGTCGGGAGTCTGCCGAGCCAGTGGTGACGGAGGACCAAAAGAAGCTGATGGCCTCACAGGACAAAAGATATGTGCTGTTCAGGCTGTCAAAGGAACTCAAGGTCAGTTTGTGTGGACCTGGATTTGTTGGAATTCTGTTTTTAGAGCATTATAATTTCCTGCACTGAAATGTCTAGTTTAGCTCACTGTAAATGTGAAGATGCTGTGCTATTTGATAATCTGAGTTCAGGACGGAAGTCAGTGTTTGCATCCAGAGACATTTGATTAAATTCAGTGATTTCTCAATGTCAAAGAAAGTAGAAAGAGCCACTGGGTTCTTTATAATGTGCATGTATTTACAATCAAAGCTGCTCTAACAGTCCCCATCCAAGATATTCACTTGTACAAATGACCAAGACCCACTTCCCCCTTGCATTTCTAAAAATTATTATTATAATGACACTGTCCAAGACACCCGCCTGTATAAGACAGCCATTTTTCTTCTTTAAAGCAGGTGACCTTAAAGGACATTTTCAACTTGTTTCGGTTGCTTTTTGGTTACTTAAAGTCGTGCCTCGCTTTTGTATTTTTCGCCATAATGGGTGTGCATTGATATTTTGTATTTGTCTTTCACAGAAAATTGAAAAGTTGAAAAACACCCTGCACATGATTGATAGTTCACAAAAAAAGAATAAGCACACAGTGTTTGTGGAGACGGAAAAGGAGGGTAAGTCTGTTTTACACATAACAACCTTCATTTGGGGGGTGGTTCCTTTTTTAGAAAATCTATTTGTATTTTATTTTTAGCTCTTTTGCTTTGTGGCTTTTAGCTGTTTCTCTGTTTCTCTTTCCAGTACAATACTGATTGTTTGCCTTTCTGCTCGTTTCACACAGATGTTTAAGTTGAATGTGATCCACTTTCCTCATAATGACAATATGGATACACATATTTGTCTCATAAATGGAGTACCGTGTTCAGCTTTTCATATTTCTATACACGTTTTGTTTCTTCTAACAGCGGAGGAGTTTGATGCTGCAAAGTTTTTTGACACTCACCCCGCTTTTCTGGACAGAGCCTACAACAGACCGAAGCTAGACAGCCTCAGAAAGGGGAAGTTCTCAATGAACCCTGAGGACCTGGAGGTAGAGACAATAATCTTGACTTTGTTCAGTTTTAAAAACTGAATTGTAAATTTGTTTCACGGCGTGGTGGAAACGGGGGGCTCGTCAATTTTTGGGGATGTGGAGTTTCGGTATAATCTTTAAGCTTATTTGTTTATCTATTTTTCAATGAAAAAAATACCCAACTGTCTTGAACAGAAGTCGGGATTCTTGCGATGGAATGGTCACCTGGTTTCAGAGGTTAGATTAGTGAGAAAATGCCCTCCAAAATTTGGTTACTTCCAAAGTTTGAGAGTCCTTGAAAACTGAAAATTTACATATTTGTGCCTTTCACTCACTTGAGCCTTTCCCCGCACCTGTTGCGGGAAGCCCGGCTGACTGCCTATGTCCGATCCTGCACCCCTTGCGAAATCGGTATTTAAAACAGGACAGCGCTTCTCATTCACTGCATAAGTTGCGGAAAATGGCACACCAAGTATCGTTTACTTTCTGCTGATCAAAATTTCATTTCAGATCTTGTTTCCAAGTTGTAATTTTTGTGTTGCAGATGATTTTGGAAGCTCACATCAACCGATCCGCTATGTTTTCTTTCTGTCACTGCAGTCATGGAGTCAGCATTCGTTACGATGGTCAGAACAAACGTGCTCGATTTTAATATTTTTAACAATAATAACGACAATTTTAGCGAGGATATCGAAATCTGCTACTCTGATTTAGTTTCAGAGTTCATTGTTTGTATTGAAATAGCTTAGAATAAACATTTAGAATGTGAAACACGGGACCTAGCACGAGCACTGACAATCGCGAAAGGGAACCGCCCAGCAAACTCAGACTTAGATCTAGTACTAGAGTTGGAACCATGACGTAAAGAGAAAAAAAGAAAGATACCTTTAGATTCTGATCCTGTAGTACAAAAGCACGAACTGAGTAGATTTAGGTAACAAAATGTAACTAAATAAGGCATTAGATCTCTTGCAAGACAAAATTCGCGAAGGGAAAGGAGACATCAATCAAAGCTGTGCAAATGACATTTGTGAGGCATCATGATGAAATCTAGTGCTCGTCTAAATAATGAAACAGAAGATACCTACATATGCCCCAGAAGATTTGTTTGGGGTGTTTGTAGAGTGAACCTCTTTACTGAAATGTTATGTTTTGTCCCTTTTAGAATTTTTGTTAAAGGTTTTGGTTTGACTTTAATTAAAGGAGTAACTTTTTTTATGAAGAAGTCCAGGTGGGGGCTGAATCTGCAAGCCCACCCTGCAAGATTTCACTGTGTTTACCATGAATGGTAGGCCTGCTCAGTGTATGGTTGGCGGGTGCTCTGGTGTGGTTTGCTCCTTCTTTCCTATCAAACATCTATTGTCCCTATCTGTCCTCGTTCTTTTTTGTGTTTGTTTTAGAAATAAATAGATTGCATAATTTTAATGGTCCTGGATCCCAATGGCAAACGTACATACATAGACTTAATTAGAAATTGTCATGTTTTGCTCAAGGACATACTCCAGTGACCACCCATGTAAACCCTGATCTGTGCCACTGACACTTGCTTTACTTTACTTTTGACCTAATTGTGTGTCTGTAAACTCTTACTAAAACAAAGACCTACTCACTCATTGTGGTGCTCAGAATTTACAGCTGTGAGCACAACCGAGAAGAAAGAATAAAATATGTTTTGTATTTTGATACCTACTTGCTGTTTAGAAGTAGTAACAACTTAACACCTCTTTTATTCAACAGGCTGCAATGGAAGGAAAGGATGCTGCTTATAGGGAATTGGAGAAGAGGATTGACAGGGCGAGGGAGCTGAAGGTGATAGCTGAAAAACTGGAGTCAAAGCTGTCGTTGATGGTGAGATTTTACATAGCTGTACTAAAAAGTATGAGTTATGGTATGATGTATTCAAGTGTCATCTCTCTTGCAGCTCTTTTGCATTCTGCATTTTTAAATATATTTTTTTATCTATCTTGATTAGTTGGGATAGTTTTGTATTTATCCACACTTGAAATGTTTGTTTTTGTTTTGTTTTTTTTTAACCAAGAAAAATACATTTCAACAAAATGGAGTCTAATGCTTATCTTGTGTATATTTTGTAAAGCTTGATTTGATAATGGTCTTAACTGTGTGTTCTTGTGGTTTTCTTACCAGCTTAACAGGGTTTTGTACTGCTGGTGAAGTCTCTTGAACTTTAGATAATCATAGTAATCACTTCTTCAGACCTGCCATTCATCCCGATTTAATCAGGATATCCCGACTTTTTTGCCCCAAACCTCAAGCATCCTGATTTTCTCGATTTCGGTTGCGTGTATCCTGATTTTTTGTTGTTACGTCTGTTGCTTCCGATTTCTACAAGAAAAAAACGTTCTGCAATCTCTTTTGCTGGGAAGCACCGATTGGACTTTTTATCGACAGGAACTTGGAACACTATTTTCAAAATGTAAAACATCAATTCCGTATCTAGTAGTTGACTCAGGCACATTATTTCAACTAAAATAGGAAGAAGTATCGAGTGGGTTCGACTTGGATACTCTCAAAGTCTTCTTTTGCTTTTGTTACCCAGAATTCTCATATGATGGCCTGATTACTGTATCAATTATGGCATAGGCCTAAAAATAATCAAGCTTCGTTCGAGTTCTGGTTAGTTTTACCCATCATCAAGACCTCTCAGTGGAACTTTCAAACACTCGTTCGCATCACATGACATGACCTTGTACGTGTGAGAAACACATGGGTCGGGGACTGTCGGCTGTTGAGTTCAACAAAGTTCACTCACCCTAGTCACAATGGTCGAGGTGTTTTTCGGGACTTGACCAGTATGGGACGACCGGGGGGGAGGGGGTGGGGGTATTGTTTTGATAAAGGAATAAGAAAACCAATAAATAAACAACCATGGCGCGATTTGGGGGGGGGGGGCTGCCTTGAGTACTTGAGTGTGTGTGCGACCGAAGTCAAACGTTGTTACTGTACTGTATGAAAATACGTGCCTTTAGCATGGGTAAATACAGTTGCATGTAAGCTATTTTCAAGACTATGAGAGTTCCAGCATCACTGCAACCTGCACTGTCTCAGTCTATCCAACTCTTGACCCGAGTACATGATCAGTTTTTTTCCCTCTACTTTGAGGCCCAAATGTGAACTTATTCCTTCAAAAGTTTTGTTTTGCACGCTTGCTCAGAATAAGGGAACCGGGACCCATCCCCAGTGCCCCTTGTGACTGATTTGCCATTGATCCCGATTTTTTTCACCAGATCCTGATTTTTTAAAGTCTGAAATCTTGATTTTTAGAGTTCATAGGGTGGCAGGTATGCTTCTTGCTATTACTTCAGCTTCTAGTTTAAAGGATTTTTTCTAAATAACCGAGTTCTTAATGTTATTGTTTTCTCTTCCCTTCTTATTTTGAATGCTAGAGGTGAGAGTAGAGAGTTGTTGTATTTTCTAGGGGATACATTTGAAATGTTTCTTACCTTCTTTGCCATTAAACATTTGTGGTTGCTTATTTTTTAGGACAACAAACGGAAGAAGAAATGTGTGCAACCGGAGACTAAAGAATCTGCAGCCCAGTACAAGTTTGATTTCAAGAGACAGAGATAGCTAAAACATTTTGTGTCTTGGTTAATATGTGTGCATATGTTACTTTTTGTCATTTATGATCTATAATTATCTTCATGTATTATGGACTGACTGTTTACCTGTGTGAGCATGTGTATATGAAACAGTGTATAAATGAGCAGTACTTCTGCATACATAAGCACAAATGTCAATGCAAATGTCTTTCCACTCTGTGGAAATGAGTGTGAAAGTAAGTTGGGGAAGACACTGGAAAGTAGGCTACTTTCGAAATAGCCCAAGACTGCTACCATTTTTGATGAGAAAAGTCATTGTCTTAGACCTTTTGACGTCTTGTTATGACAAAGATATTTATTTTAAAGCAAAGGGGAAAGTGGTCATTTGTAGAAGTTGCCGTCTGGACAGGTGGCCTCAGGAGCAGGTACTACTGTGTCTTCCACTGTCGAAATGAGTGTGAGAGCAGGTCAGATAAGGTGCTGGAAAATGCCCACATTTGATATTGGTTTATACAGTGGAACTCGGATTCAACGAAAGGAGATGAATTCCCCGTTTTATTCAATCGTTAAAATCAATAAAAACTAACTTGGGATTCAACGAACACATAAATCAGCAAGCCATCAACGCACACTTTGTGAACATTCCCGGCTGACGTGGCTTCGCTAATTTTTTTACGACAATGACCCTTATCCAGATCTATTCATGGGAACCATCCATGGCACCTGCATCCTGGACCACTATTTGCTTTGGATAGCCTATTGTTTTTTTATGTTATGCGACTAATCAGGTGCCTTCTTTCATACCAACACATGCATTGTTAGCACACAGCTGTGTCTTAGCGTGTGTCGGGGTCGGACGGGCGACCAGCACACGTATAATTGTGTGAACTGTGTACATGTGTCCAGGCGTGGAACGTCAGTCGATATATGCAAATGCATCAGTCATTCCCCCCTTGGGTTATTGATCTATATTACAATGATTTGCTGGTTTTGACTCCCTAGATCTATGTAATGAATTTCGTGCTGGTCTGTGGAATCAAACGTTACCGTATACTAGGCTCTACGGCAACGCAACTTGTTCAGTGAACACCACATCATAGATGACACATGTGCATTTGAACAAATCGCCCTTTTTGCCTAGAGCGAGCTTCGTAGAGTTGAGTGTGTTTTCCTGGAATTTTCCTGCATTTCTTCGGTACGGCATCGGAGAAACACCCCCTGGGGTGGTGCTACTGACTGAAGTGTCTTTAGGCCATTCCAAAAGGGAGGACATGTTCTTATGCACAGTAGAATTGTAAATGGGCTGATTTATCAGTCATGCTCTTTCTGTGCCGGAACAACAAAGGGGGAACTGGTGCTTTTTCTTTCCTAATCCTTACTATCTTCATTTTTCCTCTCCCTCTTTTGTATGTTTGTCACTCTCTTGTGACCCACAATTTCCGAGGTGCCTTGATAGTCGAAGCTGACTTTGTGCTGTTGAAGTTAGAGAGGTGAGTAGAGTAACGTAAGCCTGATTCCATGTAAGGACTTCTCTGTTGACATCCACCCCTTGGCGCTCATATGACCGCATGCAATTGCGAGCACCGTAAAACTCTACTAAAACAATAAAACAATCAGAGAAACGAAAATGCCTATCATTTGAAATCAAACTATTTTTGATTGCGGAAAGCGAAAAGGGCCTAAAAAGCCGGAATTTCAAGGTTAGCCTACAACTTGTTACTTCCCTTGTACGGTTTTTGTTTGGTACGGTAGGCTACCTCTAATTATCTGTACAAAAACCTCATGTTTGCGATAACGAACACTCAGATTCAACCAAATTGAAAGCCAGACCCGACGACTTTTATTTTAAAAATTTGTCCGTGCAGTTTTTTAAGTTCTCTTTTCTTTATTTGGAAATATTGATACTCTATGAAATTTAGTGATGTCAGCTTGATTTATTTTCATTTCACTACTTTCATTTTGAAATGCAAACATTAGATCTCACTTTGACTTGTCGTGCAGCACTAAAGGTTTGCTGTATGAGGGTTTCAGACCATGCTGAGTACATGTGTCGGTTTTGGCCTGTGGTGCAGTAGTAAGGTCTTTTTTGAAAATGAAAATTAATGTGCTGAATGATTTTGATTTTGATCAATGTTCCTCTTGATTTATGTACACTCTCAAAAACCTCTGAATTGATTAGCCAATAAACTATATTAATGCGAACATTTTTCATATATTGCAGTCTTGTTGTTATAAGATGGATACCTCAAGGGTTTTTCTTTTTTTCTTTTGCACACATTCGTTTGCTTTAGTTTTCTGGGGTTGTTTTTTTTAGACTTTTGCAGTATGTTTCTCATCGTGGTTCTTGCATATATTTTTTTTTTTCTCTTTTCTCTCTGTGTTTTACAGAGTGATTCGTGAAAGAAAAAATTCTTGTGAAGCTGTGATTTCATGCAGTGAAGCTGTAATTTCATGCAGTGAAGCTGTGTACAAAAAATAGCATTTAAATGTATAATTTTCCTTGTGTTTGTGATCCAAAGCCCAGTGCACTCGCTCAGAATTGTGTTTGCAACAGTAGGATTTATTGAGCTGAAGCTGTTCAGGAAAGATAGCTTTTTAAAAAAAACGTGGGTGGTTTGGTTTTTTTGTCTACGACTCCATCAACACAATTTAGATCATTTGATTAAGGAGGCGAGCTTTGACCCTACCTGTCAGGGCCAATTCAGATTGAGAGGGAAATAAGATCCCAGCAAGAAGTCCAAGATACTCAATAAACATTCACCCCACTTGGGAATCGAGCTCCTGAGTACAACAGCGAAGTGCTGGACCACGACACCACAGACAACATTGTTTACCCCAAAAATAGGTGGAATCAGATAGAACTGTATCCTGGAATCTTTGTGTTTGACATTTCGTAAAACAAAGAGTCCAGATTTTATTATGCTGTACTACTAAATAGCCTTTTTTGACTTTTCCCCACAGTTTTAGTTTTTGTGTTTTATGCAACTTGCAACACAGGTCATATATAGGTGTCGAAGATTAGAGTTGTTGGATCTACAAGAGAGTAACAAACACAAGAAAGGAGGAGATAAAAGGATAATAGATGTTTGATACGAAAGAAGGAGCAATCCAAACTAGAGCACCTGCTAACCACCTGCGTCCATACAGTTTGGTGTTACATTTTCAATTAACAAGGTATAATACTATATGTGAGGCTACCAGTGTATGATTGTTATTATACATCAAACTGGATTGTGTAACTAATGAGGTATACAGTGGAATCCTGTTATAACGAGAGGGATGGGACCGGTGCCAAATGTCCGTTATAGCAAGATTCTCTTTATATAGGATCCAGTAATAAATTCAAGGGAAATAGTAAAGTAGGCCTAATCTATGATGAGTCTGGTTTTCGGTTTATTTATTTTTGTAATCTCCCCTGATGATGATTCGGTTCAACATGACCTTTAAGTCTTACTTGATCAAAAGTCGAATCAGCTTTCTTTCTCAAACGCTAGCGATATTAACAGCTCGGCGTTGGCGATCAGAAAGAAAGTACTCTAGGCTAGGCTAACTTGCCCGCTGTGTTGTCCCCCACCCCACCACACCCTGTGGTGCGTTGCGTCTGCTTGCGCACAATAGGAACATACCACACCCCGCCCATCACACACATTCGCTCCGTCCATCACAGTGCAGCACTATGACCTCTCCATCCCCGTATTGGAGAAGTGAGAGGCATGGTAGGCCTTGATAATCTAGACTAGGCTGGCCTATCACATGATGCGTTCTGCTTGTCTGCGCATGCCACACTCTCCCCACTCATTCGATCCGACCTTTATTGTTGGCACTCGTGGATTCTCCCATTCTTTGTTTCGCAAGATAACCAAGTTTCTCAACTGGCGAGGTTTTGCATGACATGAATAAATGGCGTATAGTATATGCACTGTGCACAGCGGCAGATATATTCCTGTATAACCGACTTGCATGTTTGTCTGATCGCGTTATATTAGTATTTTATTTACAAAGATTAAGAAGGGGAAAAATGGGGTTTTAGAAAAGTGTCTTTATAACAGACTTCTCGTTATTTCAGGACTCGTTATAAGTGGAGTCCACTGTATTGAAAACAGGCATAGTTGTAATAACGAACACACCATTGTCTTTTACCACAAGTTCTAGCATTTTATAGGCTTCTACATCTTTGTACGGGTAATCTCTATCCAAGCCTAGATGTGTTCTGACAAACTGAAAGTATCTTTATTTTTTGAACCTCCTAATTATTAGGCTAATAGTTCAGTAAATTATGCAGTCGATCGTTACAATCTTAGCAATGGTTATGATCTACTATTAGTTTTTGTGTATGCCTAGTGGTCACACAAACAACCCATTGTGTTTTACCACAGCTGCTAGCATTTTATAGGCTTCTTTCTACCACTAAACTCTATTCAACCTAGATGGGTTTTGATCCTACTATTGCAGTAATTGTGCATCGGTTGTTACACTTTCAGTTGTGCGTACCTAGTTGTACAAATCAACACATTATTGTTTTTTACTACAGTTGTGAGCTTTTTAATAGATTATTTGCACCACAAAGCTTTGAAAGTCTTGATGTGTTCTGGAAAGCTGGAAGAATCTTTATTTTTTGGTTCTCTTACTATAAAGTAAACTGTGCGGTCAGTTGTTACACTTTCACTGATGGTTATAATCTATAAGCATTCATGCATACCTAGTTGTGCAAACCAACACACCATTATGTTTTACCACGGCCGCAATTTTTTTCATAGATTCTTTCTACGACAAAACACTTTCCAGGGGGAAGACATCATTCGTGCACACCGTTTGGGAGCACTCGTCAGAGGCAGCACGAGACCTGTCATAGTGCACCTTCCTCAGTTCGTGGACCAAAACTAGAGGTCCTCAGGTCAGGGAGAGACAAGATCATCGTTCAACGCCATGATGAACTGAGCAAACTCATAGACAAAGGCCAGGAAAGATTTTACAAAAACGGAAAACTGGTTGAGGTTCGAGCAACTCAGCCGGAGAATTTCCTCTTTCAAAGTTCCCCGACTACCATCTATACTTTTCGTACCGTCAACACTATTTTGATGGAGGAGTTGCAGTAATGATTATAAATGCACTTGCATCCTTTTTCAGCTTCTGACAGTTTCAGAAAAAGAATGTATTTTTTTCCCTCGTGGACATTAAATTAATAGAAGGAACAGGAAATAAAAATTCTTCCAGCTTTCCAGAACACATATGCTATGCTTGGATAGAGTTAAGCCTTACAAAGTAGCCTATAATATTTTTTGCTACATTTCTTATTTCACTGATGGTTTTATCTATTAGTATTAGTATTTCTACATGTCTTGTACAAACCAACATACCATTGTGTTTTACCACAGGTAATAGCATTTTATAGGCATCATTACATTTTACAGTTAAACTCTACCCAAGGCCAGATTTGTTCTGAAAATCTGGAAGCTTCTTCATTTTTTGGGGGGGTTTTCTACTTTTTCAGTAAATTGTGCGGTCGGTCGTTACTCTTTCAATTATGATTATAATCTATTCATTACTGTAGTGGTTTGACAGAACATCGAGTTGCGAACTACGTACAGACGAATTAACGTTTGTTTACAAGCGCTTTATGTATAGGCCTACATGTGCGCATTAACAATAAAACGACATTGTTGGACTATTTTGCACACAGATGTCGTGTAACTAATTCGCTACATTATCTCTCTCCAAGCGTGGTACAAAAAGTATGTATTAGCGAAGTGCCAGGAATTGAATTAATATGGCAATGGCTCTGGTAGTCGTGATATGCGATCAGAGCGGGTCGAAATGTTCGGATTTATCGCTGGTGGTAGGGATGATGCTACAGTCTTTGATTTTGAAGTTGGTGATAAAACCTCAGCAGAGCAGCCCAGTCTATTGTCAACAGACGATGTGAACGAGGTCAGGAAAGCAGCCTTGAGTCGATCGATCAAGACTTTCTCTGAGCGGCCCTTGATGTCTTGGAAAATAGAGGTGAAAGTTGCAACCAGGTTGACAATTAGACGCATTAGGGTCACATCTCAGGTGGTAGAAACGATGCATTTGGGTTTGTTCTTAAGCGTGGTGGGGAGCGCGAGCCTAGTTTTGGTGTTGATGTGGCGGATGTGAAGGTGGTTGTTGTAGGTTGATGCTAGGCGTGTGTTAGCTGGTTGTCCTGCACTGTAAGAGATTGTGATTAAATACGATCAGCACCCTCAGCAAGTTTTTTCGAGGCCGCTAAAATCATGTCCTATGGGGCTTTCGCGGCCTAGAGATTAAGGTGCTCGCC